TATTACATACACTGAAACACACATTGATTCAGGTCAGATTTGATTTATTTTTCCTTTCTAGAGACACATAAAGCATAAGGGGATTTATCAAAGAAAACATGGGAAGAAGGACGAATTCAAGGGACCTTCTTTGCATCTGTAAATGACTGTTCCATTGTTCAGCCCATCCATTTAAAAACCTGTAGGCTTTGAATAAAATGTCACGGCAGCGATTCACCGGAGCCTTTTACGGAGGGTTTCAAGGTGAATGGAAGCCACAACCACTAGTCCTTTCACTGCCAAATGACTGCGGCCAAGCCCTTTCCTGGCTTGGTGAATTAACCACAAATTTAATGAGGTTTGTTTATTTGGGTAGAATTTACATTCAGGATCCCTGTGCACATCCTTTATGGAGACATATAAGAAAGGGCAGAATTGTTGAGGAGGGGAAGTTAAGATCAAAGTTTAAAAGTGCAGCTTTGTTTATTGATATGTGAGGTATTCAAATGATGGGCTGTCAGGCTGGAGTGCTTTGAATTTCTTAGAAGGTAATCTAAATGTCACCACTGAGAGAGAGAGATAGATAGATAGATAGATAGATAGATAGATAGATAGATAGATAGATAGATAGATAGATAGAAAATAGATGAATGAATTGTTAAAGATGAACTGCACAAATATTATTTTCTCAAGCAGATACGTATTTCTTCTCTTAGTAGCAACCAGAGGAGTTTTGCTGCGTAAGATGGAGCCAACAAGACATTTAAAAGATTTATCTTTTCCTTGTGTTATTTTAAAAATCTAAAAGGACGAGAATGTAATAAAAGAGCTAGATCAAGAGATTTTTGAACATTGACACATTTCAGTCCTGAAACAGGCTGTAGTTATAATATTTCTTTTCATTTATTTGGATAAGATACACTTGATGTAAATGCAGACAAATTATGAGCTGTACTGTAAAAAACAAAAACAGGATACGAAAAAAATTGCTCAGTAGTGTTTAAACAAACAAATACCCTAGTAAAAACAATTTTTTCCCCTCCATAATGAAAACAAAACAAAGTTTCTGATGTCAGAAGGATGCAAATGGAGCTTGACTAAACTTTTGCGTTATTTGCATGGCTTGCCTTTGAAACTCCACATTGCTATCATCAGACTTACTGCGTTAGTGTAAATGAGAGCTAGCACTCAATCACTTTGGGCTTGAGATGTTTGTTTAGAGCTCAGATGTCTGTAGTTATATCTGCCAGGTGCTTCTGTGTTACCGCGCAGAGCTGCTGAGGCCAGTGTATTGAGGCAACTGCTGGTCACTGCTGCCACCTTGTGTTCTTTTTACAGACTGCAACGGGGGGGGGGGGCACATGGACGTTTTAGAACAGTTCAGCCTCTGGATTTCCCTCTTAATATTTATCTAAATAACTTAGATAAACTAAAAGTTAGAGAAATAGATTGTCCAAACACTACAAACATTACATTTGTTATGTATTTTGTTGTTTCAACACTACTTAATATAAAAAAATACAAAAACGGTCTGTGGAACAGTCATATTTTGATTTGATTGTTTGATTTATAAAATTAAGTATTTAACGTAAATCCTTTATTCAAATTTGATAAAGTAGACTTTATTTGCTTGTAGGTGCAGTATTTATCCCTTTGTGAAAGAACTGTTAAAACTAAAAAATAATTATTGTGTTTTTTCCATAGCCTAATGGTTCCATATGTCTAACCAACAAAGGTGGAAGAAATTTTATTCACCTAAAAGTAGCAATACTAAAATACAAGTAAAACTCCTGCAAAGAAAAAAGTAAAACTGCAGAGGCATTATCAGCAACATTTACTTAATATATCCAAAGGAAAAGGGTGCATTTTGCAGCAGAAAAGCCTGATCAGTATTTTATTATTGAGTTAATATTGGTGCTACTTTATATACCGTTCAATAATATAGCGTTTATATGCATCATATTTCATTTGTATGTAACTGTAAAGTAACTGGTAACTACAGCTGTTAATCTAGTGGAGCAAAAAGTACAATATTTCTCCCTTAAATGTAGAAGAATAAAGTAAAAATACCTTAATAGTACTTTGTTACATTCCACCAGTAACTAACCTTGAAAAGCTATAGCTATAGAAAAAGCAACGAAATAAATAAGAATGAATTTGCATTTTTTTGTTAAAAGCAGGAAGAGGGTTTAGCACTAATAGCAGATCAAAATCTCTTTCCCATTTACACTGGTCAGTATTAAATACAAGTTGTACAATATAACTTAATATAATTTGAACTAATATAAACACGATCTCCAAGTTTGTAGTAAACTTTTACATGAGGATCGTCTTGTTCGCAGTCACTCAACCACAAAGTTAAAGCAATGGTTACTTTGCAGACACACGCCCATGAAAGACAATAAAATGATTGATGTATGACCCAGCCAATCACTGTAGAGGTAGGCGGGATTTCCGGTGACATTGACAAATCAGCAATGGCAACACAAGAAAAACTTTAATATGTCAGGAAAACAACACCGAGGGGGAGTGAACTTGAAGACAGCAGTCATATTTTGAAGAAACATAATAATTTCACGTAGTTGTGTGCAGTTACAGTTCAGCCGAAAGGTAAATTGACATACGGCGCTTCATTTTTGATACACATTGACAAGTAACTATTCAGTGTACAGCTGACTGTCCAAACTTTCTGACACGGACTCAATTCGCTAGCTGGATATTCTGTAAGCAGAGCCAGCGCCATCCGGACTAGCTAGCAGGCTAGTTGCTGTGCTAGCTAACGTCAGCTAGCTGTTAGCGCAGTTCCCCAACGGCCGAGCGATGCAAGCAGCCTAGAAGCGTCCTAATTGTTTGCCCTGGGAAACGGCGTACTTCTAGATTTAATACCAAAGTTTATTTTCATCTCTAAAAATGTCGCCGAGGTCATGTCAGGACCTTGACTTTCATCTAACGTTAAACTTTGATTTTTGCATGCACATCCGTGATGGCCACCAGTTTTGGGGAAGCCATGATCCAATCAGAGTTAACGTTAGTTCTACAGAGTGATGGTGACCGAGCTAACGTTACTGTAACTGTACAGAGATTGTCAGGAAACAACGGAACAACGGGGACGCTAGCCTTGTTATATAATCTGTATCGCGCTGTTTATGTCCTTTATCTTATTGGTAATTGATTTATTTAGACGCTATAGATACGGCCTGTTTTCCCAAACGTTAACATGTTAACTTACCTTAGCTAAAAATGAGTTGACAGCATCGATAGTAGTAGTAATGAAAAGGTACTGAGAGTCTTAGTGTAGAATATCAGAGATGAGTTATAGTGGTATGCTTACAGCAAAACAAAAAAAACGTCTTTAAATTGTAGGTGTTATCAACATGATCAACTGATATCCTGAGCTATTGGTCTGAGGTTTGACAGCAGAAACTAATAGACTGACAGTGTCTAGTTTGACAAAGAAAGTGGTCAGTCTGTTAGTAAAGTGTACGTAAAGATGTCCATGGTTGGCACTGGCAGTCACCGGTGATAACCACAGAAACAGGCGTTTGTTTTTTAAAGTTTGCAGTTCACATACTCATTGCAGCTCTCTATGTGGGTAATGCATGTATTATGGTTGATTTAATGTACGTGTTGCTGTTGTTACTCATGGCTTTTCTTGGTTTATAATGAGGCTTGAAAGTTGGTGAATTTACTTTTTTTTTTAAACAGGAAAATTAATTTAAACATTTGTCAGGTCTTAGGATGTACATAATTCAATTCAGTCTAGCTTTATTGGCATGAATGTAAAACAACAACCGTATTGCCAAAGCTACAAATAAATTACAAAAGAACGATTCATTTTATACAGTTCATTAAATAAAGCAAATAAAAAGTGTGTGTTTGTGTGTTAAAAAATAATAAAATATATATTAAAAATAAACTAAATAAAACAGTAAAAGTGTATTTGTGTGTGTAAAAATAAAACATAAAAAGTAATATTAAGTAGAATAAAATAAATAAAATAGTAAGCGTGTGTGGTTTGTGAATTAAATTCATATGGTTCATCACATAAATAAAATAAAATTGATAAAGTTTGTGTTTAAAAAATAAAAATAATTTTATATTTAGGGCATGAGGTTAGAAAGTTCAGCTCTGTCTCTACCTGTCCTCTGTCACACTGGGAGCAGAGTCTCTCCTCTGTGGCGACCTTTTTCTATGGCCAGGCTGTGTTCATTTTATTGTGCTTAGGTAATTTGCCAGTGTGAATTCTCTTTTTAGGGTCAGATAACATTGTGATTTACTTTGTGCTTTGGTTGTTTCTTTCCAGTATTCAATATATATTTTTCTTTTTGCTGGTTGATAATTTGGTGAATTGCATACTCTGCAGATATGAATTGATTATTCTGTTAGGGTTTTTACCTTCATTGACACTGGACAGTAGAGAGAATACTGGAATTCAATCAGTTGATGTATATTGGCACATGTTGTAAACACTAGGTCACCAGACCACCCTCTGATTTAAGTTATCTTAAAATGCTAGAATAAATAAATAATAAATAGTAAAGGGACTTTGTTTACAAAGTAGACAAACAGCACATATTACAAAACAGAATTCTTACAGGCCACCTTAATTTTTACACAAATGCCACCCCAAGCAGACATCTTTTTCTGTATAGTCCTTAAAATAAAAATGTACTCTGAAGTGCCACAGATATAGAAAGACCTATACAATATAATCCTGTCCAATGAAACTACAGTGTAATTGGAAACACAGAGGAGTTGATTCAGCCCAATGGTCATTTAACAGCCTGTTTTTTTCTAAATAATAAGGGTTAATTAACATCTTTCATACAGGAAATGCAGCACAAACAAGAAAAGAGCAGAAAATATAAACAGTTAAAATATTAAAATGCATACAATTGTATGGTGGTGTAGGACGTTTCTGTGTATTGTTAACATAGTATTACAATCCTGTCCCTCCTTTCTTTATCTTTATCTCATTTTTTTTCTGAAGCTGTCTGGTGTCCTTTCCTGCAATTCGGTAGATGTCCACCCCATCGGACACATCAGGTGGTATGTCCCATCCTGGCCCTTCCCCGGGGGCAGGTCTATCCCCAGGACCCATTTTGGGCCCCAGTCCTGGACCGGACCCCTCACCAGGCTCTGTTCACAGTATGATGGGAGCCAGTCCTGGACCTGGAACACCAAACGCACCTCACGGCATGCAGGGCCAGGGACAAAGTGATTACTCTCAGGATAGCATGTATCCTATGCACAAGGTATAGTGTACCTACTGCTGTTACTACAAGGACTGTGTGCAGTAGTTATTTTATATCTATCAGAATTGGAACAAAAACACTAATGTGTGTCGCAAAACTGGAAAGTTGTCTTTCATGTGGCTCACACAGGTACACATAATAATACAGAAGAAAATATGTACCTTTAGCAAGAATATACACATGGTGTTAAAAGAAAAAGTACATATTCCGTATTTACACATAGAATTAAAAACTTGCTGTAAAGTGTATTTGTGCAATTAGTGATAATTCCTTCATGGTGTGTGATCATATTAATGGCAGTTGGTATGGATGAACTGACCTGGCCAGAGTCGTTTTATAATGGGAGCCTGGTGGGGGATGTTGAAATGAGATATGGAGGGGCCGTTGTGTGATGAGAGTTGTTCTACGTCTTTCTGCCTTGGTGTAGAGATCTGATAGTGAGGACTGTGTGGTGCCTATTATGTAACTTGCCTTGCATGGTTGATGATCAGAGAAAGTTTTGATTTGATTTTAACAGAGCGAAAGTTGTACTAAAATGTGATGTTAAAAGTGAGAACAGATACGAGTGACTGAACGACTGTGAAAAGTTTCCTATATATATCACCCATATTGTTTTATTGCAGATATATTGCTGTGCATATGTTGCCCGATAAGTAACAACAAATTCCAGTACAGAAATATCAGAATATATTTAAGAAAGTGTCTCTGGAAACAAAAGATACATGTCTTTATTACATTTCTATTAAGATCTATGTATTTATATAATGCATTGATGACAAAAAATTTCAGTTGGGCTATACTTTTTATATATTTTTTTTTTACATCTTTTGAGATATTTATCTATGCTGGAGTGGAGCTGGAGTCTTTTGAAAATTTTGGCACGTAGCACCTGAGAAATATTGCCTTGAGTATCATCAATATTGATATTTAATATGTGGAATGTTTAAGTGATTGACAATTTGATTCACTGTCTTTAATTTTGTAGGCATTGAGTTCAGGGTTCCATTAGAAATTACAGTTTGGGGGGAAGTATGTTGCATACAATGAATTAATCTTAATTATTTTTTCTAATTTCAGACCATGGAGGGAATGAATGACAAGACTATGGCAGATGCGATGCACTTTGGTCACATGAAAGGTGTGGGAATGAGATCTCTGCATAGTGGCATGGGGCCTCCACAAAGTCCTATGGACCAGCACAGCCAAGGTATCCTATCTATTTTTAAAACTAACAGTAGGGGGCTTTGTGAGTTGGCAAAATTCATTTAAATGAATTATGACTGTTTTATTAATTTATGTTCATAGTAAGGCATCTTTTATTTCTAAATAGCATCAGACAAATGTTTGATTTATTTTATGACCACTTAGGTGGGCTCTAAGCCTCCAAACCCTAGGTTGGGAACCATGACTTTAAGGCTACAAATGTAAATTTTAGCTATGTAAAATCATTAAAACATCTTCCTGTATACTGTAGGATACATGTCCCCCCACCCATCTCCCATGGGTGTCCATGAGCACGCTTCCAGTCCCATGTCAGGAGGTGGAGGTGGTGGGGGACCCACACCGCCCCACATGCCTCCCTCCCAATCAGGCCCTATGATGCCGATGGAACCCCAGGGAGCCATGCCCAACATGGGCCAGCAGGGCCGGGCCCCTTCTGCTTTCAGTCCAGTCCAGCTGCAGCAGCTCAGGGCTCAGATCCTGGCCTATAAGATCCTGGGCCGTGGGCAGCCTTCTGCCTGAAAACCTTCAACTGGCTGTTCAGGGCAAGAGGAGCTTACCCACAATGCAGCAGCAGCAGCAGCAACAACAACCGCTGCAGCAGCAGCAGGCGCCTAGTGCTAGTCCTTACAACAGGCCTGCAGGTAAGAAGATCCAGTTGTACAATGATACAAATGGTTTATTGTGATGCTGTGGGCCGCTTCAATATGAGCAAGTGAATGAATTCAACCTCAGTGTACTCCATGAAATGTGAGCCAGGCCACCTCAAAAACATGGATGGTTCGCATCTCATTGTGGCCTAGATTTTCACTAGAGAGCATCCACACATGTAATGTAACCTGGCAGTAGATGTAGCCTGGCAGCAACAGTATGTCAGCTTGCATTAAAAGTTAAGGTGTAATCATAGTTAGAGACTTGATAAATTCAAGCTTCTCAAATGCAAATAATTTTCAGTAAGAGCAGGTGTCTTCAGGTGTCAAGAGATGTTTTTGGTTTGTGTCAAACAAACAGTCAAAAGTTTGGATTTCAAAAAGCTTAAAATGTGTTGTGCGTCCAAAACATTTATTCGGTTAACAATGATATAAAAAATTTTGAGGAATGTGAGAAAGGAAACTGAGAAATGTCACATTTCTCCTAAAAAGAAAAAAAAAGTATTACAACAAATAAACAATAAAATAAAGAACACTTACCGTAGATACCATTTTCCCCCACAGACTCACATTATCTGTGTAATTCACAAAACAGGCTCAGAGAATTTGGCCTTACAATTTGAGAGTACAAGCGATTAATTATTAAAAAATATATTATTGTTTTGAAAGGTATGCCAATGGCACCTATGGGTGGTCCCCAGTCAAGTCCCTGCCCTACACCAGCCATGCAAGCACACAATCAAAGCACCGGACCCAAGCCATGGTCCGATGGTAAGTAAGTGAGCTGCAGTTAACTGTATGTGTGGACTAAAGCCACAGTGAGGTGCTATAGTTTTGTTTTTCTATACACCTTTTCATTCCACTTCATCATCTTCCTCCAATTTGTGAGTGAAAGAAAAAGGGTTTGAGTCTGAAAAGGGCTACAGCAGCTGTTTGATGTTTCTGTTTTGAGAGGAGACTTTGAAGTGACATGGGATAGTGTGGAAAGGAGCTGCAATCCAAGGTTGAATACAGTGTTAAAGCTTTGGCTTTGAAGATGCAGCATTTTCTGCTGGCCAGAAACAAGTGAGAAGCTAGTTGCTGTTACATTTATTCATTTAGCTGAAGCTTTTATCCAATTGCTATACATGTCAGAGGTCGCATGTTTCTGGAGCAACTAGGGGTTAAGTGTCTTGCTCAGGTGCTTGGTGGATGTCTCACAGTGGGAACCCAGGTCTCCCACACCAAAGGCAAGCATCTTATCTATGCGCCATCACCACCCTGTTAATGATCAAGACACAAATCCTAACCGGTAGACATAGAATACAGGGAAACAACCACAGTGATTTTGTGAACAATTATATATTTGTGCAAAATATTATGGTTTGAGTGAAATCAATTCCCAGTATGATGAGACATCGGAGTCTGCAAGTCTAGAAAGTCTCCAGTTTGTGACTTGTCCACTGAAGCAGTTCTTTCCAGTTATATTTTCTCTTGGTGCAATTAAAATGTGTTCTTTGATTTCCAAGCTTTTGAATAAAATTTTTGTTTTTTTAATAAATATTATAGTTTCTAAACATTCGGGCTGGACGCTGACTCGAAATGGGCAAGTGTCTAAAGTTCAGAAGGCCAGAGATATGGACAAGTTGGGGCATAGAGGGGCAGTGGTGCTGAGGTTAGCACTACTATTGAATCGGTGTGTGAGTCAGTCACACTATGGCGAGCGGTAATGAAGCAGTGGCGCTGGAAGACCCGCTGCAGGTTACTGGTCAGTGAATGTTACAACAACAATGGACAGGCAGTTGTGTATGAGACGAGGACCGTGTCTGTGCGCCACTGTTGTAGGGTAACGTTATGTGAATGGAAACATCCGACATGCTAACGCACATTAAACTTACATTACACAGATGCGCCGATCACCGGGAAGAGGAAAAAACTGCACAATTTCTTTTGTATTTTTGATTTCACACCATAAGAGTTCTTAATGCAACAGATTTGTAGTATAATATTTATTCCAGTCAGACAACAGTTTCATATTTGTGACATATATATCTATGAAATACATAGCTGTATCTCGTGAAATTACAGCCAGCGTTACACAACCAGCAACGCCACTTGTAGGATTGACCGGGAAACAGTTAAAGCCCTCATGGAGCCAAACATGGGAGGGGAAAGGCCCGTATTGTTATGTTTAGGTGACTGGTGCACTGTAAATATAAAAAAAAAAATAGTACTCATACTTGTTTCACTGAATGTGGTTTATATGTAGGACTAACTGCTTAGTGTGTAGGTGAACAAAGTTAATTTGTCTACAGATGTGTCCATGTCCCCTGATAGACTTGGGAGCTGAACATGGTGTTCAGCTGAAATGTTGGCTGTAGAGATTTTTAGTCAAATGCACAAAACTCAAGGCACTTTGCTTTGTTAAAGTACAAAAGTTAAAAAGCCTTCATTATCATGACTTCAAGATTAAAAACAAGACCAACATATGCTGCCAACACACCGGTCTTCATCAGGATCAAAACCCAGACTGTTTTAGAATTTTGTTCTTCAAAGAAGCAGTTATACTCAGAAGCACCTGCTTTGTGTTTCATTGGTATCAGATCCAAGTAGTGCTTCCTCTTTCGTTTTTTGTAGTTTATCAATATCATAATAACTCATGATTATTGTGAGATTTTGATAATCTTTGTAGCAACCTGCCCTACTGAGACATGACCCAATAACAGTCCAGGTCTTTCGTCTCCAGGTCAGAGTGGTGAAAATCAAGCCAACCCTCAGAAGCACCTCACCCCTGTTTCAAGTGGACGCCCGTCCCCTGCACCACCTCAGCCCTCGGCTGTGCCAGCTGGGCCCATGCCAGGCAGTTCAGTGGCCCCTCAAGCTCCCGGGCAGCAGGTGTCCCCCATGCTCCAGATGCAGCAGAAACAGAACCGCGTCACGCCAATCCAGAAGCCACAGGGCTTGGACCCTGTGGGGATCCTGCAAGAGAGAGAGTACAGGTATATAGTTTTATCATTTGTTTACAGCACAGAAACACTTTCTGCACATATGAGCAATTCTTTATTCTTATTAAGCCAGTCATTAAATTATTTCTTCAGAGACCCATTATGTCACATTGTTATTATATTTCTTCAGCAAGAACCATTAATTACCATTAATTGGCAGCCATTGTATTTCTAGCTGTGTATTAGCCTTTAATCACACGTTACTTGATTTTTACTAGGCTCATAATTGTATCTTAGCTCTGACGCTGACAATAAATCACTGATGGGTTACTTCAAAGGTCAAATTTTTGTCTTAAATGTTTATTTTAAAGGTTTTTTAATGAATGTAATTGTATAAAGATAATAAGATTTTTCATGAACTTGACAGCTCATAGTTGGTACGTCCTGTCCAGTCCTACCCAGTCAGACTGATGTTTGACTTTTATAGAGAATCTGACATGCCAGTACATTTCCAGAGTGAAGTACATTTCTTAATGGTGAAGAACCATTTTGTGTTGTAGCCTCCCTGGTCTTTGGTGAAGGTGCTGTGCATACACAATCACAACTCACTGTTTCATAGGCTGTATCATGAAAAACAGAGACGGCTGAAGGAGATATGATGAAGGTTCGCAGGCCTTAATCTTGCCGGGGCCCTAAGGCTTGTTTTTCTGCATACAGGTTCAAGGTTGTTGTTTTGATGATCTCGTCTTTGTGCTATCACATCACCTTTGACAAGCTGCATTGTTCAAGAAATGCTCACAGACCAGAGAGAGTTGACCTCTACTTTATCTCTAGTTTATCTGTCCAATGAGGCCATCTGAACAAACTATGGGTGCTACATTATAAGTAGTTGTTGATAAACATCTGAGTCACCCTGACAGTTATATAACCAATGCATCATGCAGTGTTGCTGTTGGGTTAGGTAAGCGACATTAGGATACTATAAAATAATAGTACTTAGAGTCGCACGCATAATGTGTGACTTCACCTGTTGTTTATAAAGCTGAATAGGTGACTGTAGGAACAGAACCAGTACTAGAAATAGCCCTCGTGAACTGGTTGTGTATCAAATACAGTACAGCAGGATTTCTCCTTTAATACAGTGAATTGTTCTGAAATCTCATAAATTCTGTAAAGTTTTGTACTGCACGGTAATTGATACAAAAGATTATACCAGTGTATTGCAGATTTGTTTTTCTAATAATCAATGATTTAGATTATAGCCTGACTGATGGACTGGAAATGGAGGTAGATACTGATATTGATATTTGGGGAGGAAACCCTATCTCTTTACCTCTAATTCATATGCGTATATCATATCCTAATACTCCTGATTCTGTCAGACCACTGCTCAAACACGTGCCATGAGTCAATTAACCAGTCAGCGACACTATAATAATAATAATCTAATAATTGTGTTTGTTGCATATCGTTGTCTCAGTACTTGCACTCTAATCTAATATCATACTCCTCTCTCCCCTTTTCCCTATCTGCCTCTGTACTGTCCGATTCAATAAAGGCAGGAATGTGTGCATTTATTGTGTGGTCTTTCCAGGGTCAAAAGACCTTTTTTAGACCAGTTTGTCATAGTTTGACTTCCATCTTCGTAATTTTACTCAGATTGCAAGCTCGGATTGCACATCGAATCCAGGAACTGGAAAGTTTGCCAGGCTCGTTGCCCCCTGACCTGAGGACTAAAGCCACAGTGGAGCTCAAGGCACTGCGTCTACTCAACTTCCAGCGGCAGGTACGCAGCAGTTGCCATGTCTCTTGTTCAGTGTGATTGCACAGAATATTAATTTACCCAGAATTACGCAGAATGCCTCACAGTTGGAGTGGGAGTTCAATCACTGACACAGCTTCAGGATCCATTGCTGATTTCCTCATCGACTCATGCTTATTCTGTCCACACAGCAGGTGTTAGCTTTCTGCCCTGGTTTTACTCTTTATGAACTATTTTAAGTTTCTCAGGATCCAAAGGGGTTGAAAGATTCAGATCAGATTTTTTGTGCTGTGTAATAATGCAGTTTACACTTTCTGTAATCGTGAAGTGACAGTTTAGTGTTGAAACAAGAGCAGTTGTTGTTGCCGTTAGTCTCTCCAATATCAGCTGTGTGTATTTAAATATTTAATACATATATAATAAATTCTACGATAAAAATAACTTCATGCATAATTACAAAACAAGCTTTTCATTTCAGTTGGATCACATTTATTTTTTGCCTTAGAGCACTTCCAGATTTGTGATATCTTCTCAGTGCATTACAGTTTTGAAGAAAATAACTTCCAAGTAGTTGTTTTAATTCAGACTATTAAAAATGAAATGATGCCTCATAAACTTCAGCTTTATGTTTTATTTTCAGTATGTTTTCTGTTCAAAATTTACTGTTAACATGTACAGTTTTGAGAGTATTGATACCACCCAGAAATTGATGTTTTGACGTGTAACCTATTACTCTAGCTTAGACAGGACGTGGTGGCGTGTATGAGGCGAGACACGACGCTGGAGACGGCTCTCAACTCGAAGGCTTACAGACGCAGCAAGCGGCAAACGCTGCGGGAGGCACGCATGACCGAGAAGCTGGAAAAACAGCAGAAGCTCGAGCAGGAGAAGAAGCGCAGACAGAAACATCAGGTGATTCACGCTAGAGTGTTTAGAATAGGTGTTGTCTTAGGAAGGGATCAGAGGAATTCAACATATCAACAGCAGCTGTTTTCCAATATGTGTTGTTCTCTCAATGTCCCATGAATGGTCTGGAAACAAGTGCTTTCATAGTAACTGTGATGTTGATACAAAATACAGTTGTGAATCACTTACTTTGAGCGTATGTTTAAAGAAAACTTCTGGTGATGGCGCAATGGATAAGACACATGCCTTTGGTCTGAGAGACCCGGGTTCAATTCCCCACTGTGACCCACGTACCATTGTGTCCCTGAGCAAGACACTTAACCTCTAGTTGCTCCAGAGGCGTGCGACCTCTGACATGTATAGCAATTGTAAGTTGGTTAGCATAAAAAGTGTCAGCTAAATGAATAAATGTAATACTTACACCAAATGTTTTCTGCAAGCTGCAAATGAAAAAGTTAAGTTGAAGAAGAGAAAACATTAAAACAACAGTTCTTGACAACCACATTCAAAACAAAATTTCATGTCAGAAAGCTAAAGGCATGCAAGCAGCAGCAGCATCAAACAATCTCTGCATGTTGAAATGCAAATGCAATACAAAACCGACAAAGAAGGCTGAGTGTGTCAAAACAGCGTTTACTGTGCCCTGTTGTCAAAATAGTATTTATTTTTCAATATGTTTTGTGGCTTGTTTTTTCAGGAATATCTCAACAGTATCCTTCAGCATGCTAAAGACTTCAAAGAGTATCACCGCTCAGTGTCCGGTAAAATGCAGAAACTCACCAGAGCTGTCGCCACCTGGCACACCAACACAGAGCGGGAACAGAAGAAGGAGACTGAGAGAATCGAGAAGGAGAGGATGAGGAGACTTATGGTAAGGACCTGAGAATCAAAATATATGTGATAGTGCACCTTTCAGAAATAAATATTGACCAGTGACCAGGTGAAAGACACGCAGCAAACTTTGACAAACATTGTGTATATACATTACAGTACCAAAGCTCTGCTTATATCACATGCTTACTTTTTAAGGTTTTTTTTTTCCTCTGGTGTACTGATGACCTGTACTGACCAATATACTGAATGCATCTAAATAGGGATGTACCAATCCTATTTCTTCTCTCCCAGTAGTGACTAAAGGCATTGGCTGATACCAAGCCCAACTCTCTCTCTCTCTCTCTCTCTCTCTCTCTCTCTCTCTCTCTCTCTCTCTCTCTCTCTCTCTGTCTGTGTGGATGGTTTCAATTATTATGTGTAAGGCCAATGTTATGACCAAAACATGTTCATGTCAATTTGACCCGATAAAGGTCTGAGAACCAAAACAGGAAACAGTGTACAGGACTTTTGGTTCTTTCACAGTCAGAGTTTGTGATTCGAGACACCTGACTATAAGAGGTTTTGGAGTTTTAAAGCTTTGTAGTAAATGTCATGATGACAGTGACTGGTATTAACTTGTATAGTTGGACGATGGGTCAGTATTTGCACCAACACTGATGTGGTATATTGGATTGATGCATTGGCACACCAGAGCAGCACTAATCATAGAAAGCATAAACCAACTGGATTTGAATCAGTTGTCAGGCTGTAGATAATATTTTGCCGATTGTTATCCTTAAGAAGCTCTGGTCCTCTTCCACCATTAACCTCCTATCACCATCCCCTGTTCAGGCGGAAGATGAGGAAGGATACCGAAAACTAATTGACCAAAAGAAAGACAAGCGTCTGGCCTACTTGCTGCAGCAGACGGATGAATACGTGGCCAACCTCACCACCCTGGTGTACGAACACAAAGCGGCCCAAGCTGCAAAGGAGAAGAAGAGGAGGAAGAAAAAAAAGAAGGTAGGAGGAGAAATGGTCAAGTGGCGGTTATTCTATAGGGTTTGTTTATGCTCATGGATGCCAGATTTGGATTCTGCTAGTTTCTGAAAAGCAAGGGTTTACTCAGAGGTTTTTATATTGCTTTTTTTCTCTATTTTTGTTTTACTATTGAGTCAGAAAAATAAAAAAAAACATGGAAAGAGCAAAGCTAATAATATGTTAGTCCATCGCTCAGTACTTTCTGGCTTCTTTACCGTGGCGCTTAGCTTTAAACCTGTTATTTCCTACAGGAGATGCACATCTTTTTGAATGCCTCGCACATATCTAGTTTCTTTATTATTGAAGCTTGTAAATTACTAAACATGTTTGGTCAAAATACAGATAAACACTTTATATTGGGGTTAGTGCTCAAGGTATATCAGTGTTGCTGGGTGAACATACAATCCAACCCTCCCTGGGAGCACCGACCACAGTTCAACTGTAAATTGTGCCTTATAATCACCTTAATCTCATGGTTCACTATTTTGTTAATTTCAAGCGTCTTCCAGAATGTTAATGTGGTCAATGACAACAAACCAATGGCCTTTTCTGATTTTATGCTTTAAAATGATCTTACAGTCAGATCTTACACCTGCAGCTTCTCACGACACCTTTCTCTAACCACATGTTGTGTCACCTCAGTTGAGCACGTGTGATGATGATCCTGAGAATAGACTAAAATGACTTTCCCCTTTTAATGGAGGAAACTATGCCATTTATGGCAAACAAAACCATTATAGAGCCACCATTACTGAGAGATGATGTATGTTACCGATACTTAAACACACCATGCTGTCACATACATTATAACTACATTTGCAACGATGTGTCAGCTGAGTGGGTTTATGTGTTTGATTTCTAGAAGGTGGATAGAGATGACGAAGGCACAAGCGCCATTGGACCAGATGGAGAGGTGAGCTGCAGTGCTTTATTTTGTTATATTTTTCTTTTTGTTGTGGTTTTGTTGCTATTTTGGTATTTAAAATCATTGTGTACATGTTGTCAGTTTTAAAGTGGCTATAATCAACATTTTTATAATCATGTATCAAATGACGTGTGTCATGTGGAAACAATGTCAAAGCTTGTAGTGATGAATCTACAAAGAATTGTCACCCAAATCCGCAGCTCGCCTCAGCTTTACAAAGCTATATAGTGAGTTCACCGCTGTCATAGCGCTGTTTTCGGCTGGAGCAGGCAGATGGTTGCAGAGAAAGAGCTCTAAAAACCAAGCAAGGATTTTGTTCTGTTAAAAAACCCTAAACACTAACATTTGTCTAAAGTGGACCAACATGAGTTCACTTCTGTCTATTTACACATGGTTCTCCTTGTGGTTTGTTTGTCCTCCAGCCAATGGATGAGAGCAGCCAAATGAGTGAGCTGCCAGTCAAAGTGATTCAGACTGAGACTGGGAAAGTTTTGCAGGGAACGGATGCTCCCAAATCCAGCCAGCTGGAGGCTTGGCTTGAGATGAACCCTGGGTAAGAATACACATTACTGCATAGAACTGTTATGCATCCCTGTGCATCCCTCTGAAATTAAAGTGATGTTTTGTTCCAGAGCTGAAACTGAAAATAAAATGGTCACTTCCAAGGGGGAAAAAAAGAGACTGGAGCACACTGACTGATTTGCAGCCTTTAATAGTGCAAACAGACCAACATTTCGACATCACTGTGTCCCAATCAGAGACGCCAACACATGATAATGGATCCAATAGTGGGAAGTGCCATAGCCATGTCCAAGCATCACACCATGTGTACTATAATCACCCCAGAAACAAAAGAACATTTCTCTCTCAAAGTCACAAAGTACAAAAGCACAAGTACTGCAGCCATCAAGTGTAATCAGATAGAGGAAACATGACAAATTCAGTTTTCCATTTAGGCCAAAAGGCTCAACTGTGTTAAGACCAGTATATTCCTCTCTGTGGAGCTGACTATGCCACCACCTCCTGGAGAGGGTTATACTTTTTCAATTCCCCAGAACGTTATTGCCACTGCAGAGCCATGGTTGGCCTGTACAAAATGTCTTTTGTGCATTTTGCGGTTATGTATGCAAAACATAACATGTAGACCTTTACACCTCTTTTAGTTTGCCCAACATAAACCACATTACAGGGACATTTCAGAATAGATTGTTTGTCAAAGTTGAGAGACTATTATACAAAAAAAAACCAAACCCTAACCTACCGTTATTACTACTAGTTAATTCTACTAAAAGATGTACATTATATTATATACTAAAAGATGTACATTATTTTTTGATGTGACATCATGGAGTCATAAAATAAATACTAAAGTAACTGTATATTCTATTGTCCTTGTTTTCCTCTTCCTGGCGTTTCTTTCTTTAAAAACCAGGTATGAAGTGGCCCCGCGGTCAGACAGCGAGGAGAGCGGCTCAGAGTTTGAGGAGGAGGTCAGTGACTTTCTCATTTATTTAACTCCCACAGTGGAGGGTTTTAAATTAGCCTCAATCTCCTGAACTTCTTTAAATCATGCAAATTTTATTAAATGGGATTAAGTGCACATCTCAGTCAGACCAACTCAACATATACACACATACTAAATACATACATACATCAGGAACCACCAGGGGGCTGTAGCTGTATGCACTGCAGATTATGATTTAGTTTCATCCTCAATAGAGCTACTCTGTGATCTGTCTGTTGTTATTGTAGTGAGTATGCTCTCAGCCATGTGTTATCCACTGTGCCTTAAAAGGAGGAAGAGGAAGCGGCCAAGGCAGAAACCGAGGAGAAGATGATCGATCCCAATGGAGTTGAAGTGTTTGTGACGGCGGCCAAGCACATCATCGAGTATTGTATTACTTACCCACTATCCCAGATTTACTTGAAATATATCTTTTATATATATATATATATAACATGTTTTTTGGTTTCAAAGGAAAATTCCAGACACTTAGATTAAAGAAAAAATAAATAAAGTTCAGGTAGACCTTATAAACATGGCATTTTCCTCAGGAGCTCTGGCTGTACTCCCACTGAGTTCCTGACGCCAGATCCAGCTAAGCCTCAAAACTGATCATTAAAATCAATTCCAAAGAGCACAGTTCAGTCGAGGTTAGAGGGGTTTCAAATACTCTTCTCTTTTTCCAGGTCAGCCAAGCAGGATGTGGATGATGAGTACAGTGTTCCTACTGGACAAACCAGCTCCCAGTCTTATTATGGTGTGGCCCATGCTGTCATTGAGAGGGTGGAGAAGCAGTCGTCGCTGCTGATAAACGGCACACTCAAACATTACCAGGTACATACGTGCACACGTGTACACATATACTTGCATTCCCTCTTATTTTGTAGACTTTTGTAACTGTTATATTTAGTTCTCACTTTTGAACAGTGATTGTTGTTATTTTTAGATTATTTGTTACCACAATGTGTTTTAAAAGAGTGTCAGATTTAATATTTATCACCTTCCTGCCAAACATCCTTTTTTATTCAAAGAGCAAGCAAACAAAATCCCATCTTAATTTTTAAGTGTCATTTCTTATTTGTGTTTCTGGCTTTGATTTTTTCCAACTCATCCATCCATGACTCATGAATGCAAAACTGCATTTTGAAGCCTTCTCTCAAATCATGGATGACGAATTGTCCTTGAATTAATCACCAAGGAAGGTTTTTAAAATGGCAGCTGATTTACGACAGTAATTTAAGAAACAAAAACAGAGGTGACTGTAATAGAAATACTGAAGTAAATGAAAACAATCCGCTTTGCAGTCATGAAGTAGTTGGCAGGAATGTAAAATACATCATTTTTAGGTAGAAACAACATACAGATCCAGTATGCTACACTGGGCCACAATGTCAAACTATGTCCAAGGGTTTTGGTAGTGGTTCTTTCACTGGGGAAGATGTTGTTCTTGTAGTTAAATTTTGTTCGACCTCAGCAGCAGGAAATTTGTGAGTACTTTTTTGACTTTTGGCTTGAGCAGGCAGGACATCCTAAATGTTTTTGGACAGCTTATCTTGGTGCTGGCTGCCACGTGGCCCAGCGCCACCACCACTAGTCACGTCTGATTTGTTTTGATTGAACAGCTTTATGAGTGAAAATGTTAATTTGCTCTGTGGGGAACTTTTGCAATCTACTACTTTATATAATATACTTTTAGTGAAATGCCTTAACAAGGATGTTCCTTTGTCATTTATGTATTAAGTGAGCAAGCAGGATGATGACTTCAGCCTCCTCTGTTTTGTGATGTTGTGTGTATGGAAAGTAAGGCTGGGTGAAAATGTTATCACGATAAAAACATTTCATACCATTCGATATCAGTAATTATCACAATAAATGTCAAATCATTATTTCTTTCAGGTTTAAAGGCAGATTTTTGCTCCTGAGTGAAAATTGAAGAAACCAGATGGTTAACTGTGTGGTTAAAGTTTTATTTACGGTCAGAACGTGATAAACACTTAATTATGATAAAATCTCTTTTCAACAAATATGATGAGTAAATAGTTTTTCAGTCCCTTTTCCTCAACAAAATAAATATATTACTAGAAAAATTAAGTGCTTATTTGTTCCTGATTCAAATTAATTCAATCAAACATTTATTGACGATATATTGAACATATTGTTATTGAGGAAAAGTATATTGCTATAATTATCATTATTATTATTGCCCAGCCGTAATGGAAAGGCCGTAGTTCTTCTGCTGATCTTCTGGCCGTTTACACACACTCGATGCTGGCCGAGCTCTGGGAACAGAAACAGGGCCCACCTCTGTGCTTGTCAGTTCTCCTAAATGTTGCTGCACAGTTGTAAAGACCTGGAGGGTGTGACCAAACGTATCTGTTGCTAGGCAACTGAATGCTCAGTCATGTAATTTTAAAGACAACTGTCTGCTTATAAATATGCTACCAAACTGTTTTCCAGCGTGGCACTATACTCTCGTCTCTGCTATAGTTAGTGGGAATGGCAGCAAAAGATAGTATATTAGAAGAGATAGGGAACTGGCAATTGAATACTGCCAACATTTATCTTTCTTTCAGACAAGTTGCAGTCCTAGCACTCCTCTGATTTATGGCGTGTCAGGCTTTAAATGAGATATGGCAGCAGCTCCTTGGGGAAATTGGAGAAATTTCTGCAGTACAATAATTGGATCAGTTGTCTGCTATGCCAACAGCAGTCTGTGTAACAAACCTGAAATAATTTACAGAAGCTAAGCTACACATTAATATAGTTTTCAGTTTATCAGTTCTTATAAATAGTACCCTCCACCAGCCTTTATTTCTGTGGAATTAGCTCTGCTGTGAGGCATGCTGGTAATTGGGTGGAGGTCCCCTTTTCTGCTGCCAGTGCCCTTGTGCCCTTTCCTGCTTCTTCATACTGTCTTTTGCTTGTTGTTTTCCCCAGGCCAGAGGCAAGCTACACAGTTGATATTTTGCTACCACGCTTGAATCACTTGGGATATAAAATGCCAAAGTGGCAACAAGATCAAAGTGCATTTACAAAATTCACTATGAAAAGAATTTAATTTGCTTCTTTAGACACATTTAAAGGTTTTTGCCATTACATGTAGAAGAAACAAATTTAAAAGTCCACTTTTGAATTATTTACTAGTAGAGCTGAAACAATTACTTAGTTAATCAATTATCGTCAGAAAGTGAATCAGCAGCTATTTAGATATTGAATAATTAATGCCATTTTTCCAAAAAGAAGGCCAAATATTCTTCTGCTTCTCAGCTGTGAAGATTTGCTAATATTGAATTTAAAGATCCCCACCATCCAAAAATGTATTTTTCTTATGTTTATGTCCCCTAAAATGTCAGAGTTTGACTTCTGACTTCAAACAACATGAACAAATAAAAGATGCTAACTACACTTGCCATTCTGATACCTCAGCTTAATGAAGCAGCGGAGGAGAGAGGACATTCATTCATAGATCCAGAATTTCTCAATGAGGGAGAAGGAGTATATTTGCTTCCAGCCCCATTTCAGAGTATTAAAAAATTTATCTGGAGGGAAACTTAAAAAATCTTTGGTCACCTTTGGTTTTAGGAACTTGCAGTTGGCATTTTTCATTATTTTCTGATGATTAAAAATTCATTGAGAAAACAATTCACAGGTGAATCGCTAATAAAAATAATCGTTACTTGCAGCCCTATTTTCTAACCTTTTAGGCTATGTTCAGACTGCAGGCCAAAGTGACTCAAATCCAATATTTTTTGTTTTTTTAACATGTTATGTTACCCAGATCTGATCTTTGTATGACAGTGTGAACAGGCCAAGTCACATGGAATCTGATCTTTTCCAGTTCGGATTTGGGCCACTTCATATGTGGTCCAAATCCGATACAAATCGGATCTGGGGAAAATATCGGAATTGAGCATTTAGGCCTGCAGTCTGAACGTAGCCTTAGACTTAAAGTGCCTGGACAGATTTAACAAAAAAGAGCAGTGCGTGTCATGAAACATGTTACATATTATGCCTACTAACCATCTGACCTCCCCATAGTTTTTTTCATTTAGTATTCAGATTGTCATGCCTGCCCTTGAAAACAGTGTAAAGTTTGCCACTTAAAACATTTAGTCTCTTTGACATGCAATTAGATATAGAACATGTAAGTTTCCTTGATAATTTCCTTGAACACTGCCTAAAGCGTTCTCTGTCTTGAATCTGTCTGTGGGTTTCTTGTCTTTTATGTGCTGGAGGAGTAGAAATATACATACAGATGTTGTGAAGATATTATGCTATTTTCTCTGCAAGCAAATGCTTAGGCATTCCTTTATTTCTCTGTGTCATCTAGACCCAGGGCCTGGAGTGGATGGTGTCCCTGTACAACAACAATCTAAATGGCATCCTGGCTGATGAAATGGGCCTCGGCAAAACCATCCAAACCATCGCACTTATCACCTATCTAATGGAGCACAAGAGGATCAACGGCCCCTTTCTCATCATTGTTCCTCTCTCGTCAGTACTTCTCAGCTAACGTATATCACAAGTCTTTTGCGCAGTGTTTTTAGTGTCTAAAATTACATAGGAAATAATTTTAGGTTGAAATAAGCCAACCATGTTAGTCTAAATCACAAGATAGGGCTGAAAAAGAGAAGTGTAAGGAGCAGGGGATCGACTCACCGACTTTCTGATTATTGGATGACCCGCTCTACCTTCTGAGCCACAGCCACCCAAGAACAGGGGGGAGGGGTGGAGTCCCACACCTGATTTAGACACTGATGCTTCTTTTGGCTCAAATTAAATTCAGGTGTCAGGTGTGCACACTCATCTGCAGCGATGAGTCAAAGTACACAGCAAACACAAACTGTCTACTGATTATAGGGTGAGCCTTCCCCCTCTTTTTCCTAACACCTGTTTTTTGAAAAATCAAGTGTTTTGAACATTAGAAACACTTGTCAAAATGTCTACCAGTCACATTCTCAGTCTGTTTGAGCTCCTCATCTTGATATTCAGTGACAGCAGCATGTTGATTCTTGGCCCTTGACAGATGATTAGTCCCCTGTCTGTTTCTGTAGTAAAGACATCAGAAGAGTATTTTGACTTGTTTTCACTCTTTGGAATTTTTTCCTTTTGTGGGAGCAAAATGTTACACAAGCCTTCAGACACTTCCAGTACAAACAGACTTGAAGAGACTCACTAGCCTACCAACATTAGGGCCTAGGTCTGGGCGATATGGACCAAAAGTCTGTGTCAGCAGGCATGCTTTTACTAATTGTAGTAGCTTGTTTCTTATTTCACCGTTTCACCATTCAATTATAGTTCTTTCTCCACCTTATTTAAGTGTCACTCACTTATTGAAACTACCTCCTTCAGTTCTCAGCTGCAGATACGTCAGCGTGCCCTGCTTCTTTCCTTCTCTCTCTCTCTCTTTATGTCTGCTCCGGTGGCTTTCTCCATCAGTAGTAGGCTACCTTACATAAAGTCTCTGGAAAACCCCCCAGACAGAACTCATCTTCTGGACTTTTCCACCCGCTATTCCGTTTAAAACAGCAGCTGCGCCGCATGTTGAGGAGGCGTGTTGATGACGTAGCCTATCAAAACAAAACCAACATGGTAGCTAACGAATGACATCTGCACTGGTGTGTTCACTGTCGCTTTACCTGGTTGTAAAATATCCACCGTGTCGGGCCTTGTAACATAATAACTGTGTTTCTCTAATAAATGCCACAGTGCGTCGCCAAATACACCATGGCGGCCTGCCGAAGTAAAGTGTATGTGTAAGAAACACTGACTGAACCGTTGTTTTCTTTTTACAAGCCAGTTCTTCCCAGTGTCGACCTGCACTTTGTCTCCCTCCATGTTGTAGAGTTTGTGAGCTTAGGGGGGGGCTGGAGACGCAGAGGGAGGGGCGGTGCTGCGCGGTGAGGGAGAGAGAGGAGCAAACGCTGGCAGGACTTTACAGAAACATATTAATTAACCAACATCAAACTGTATCAATATCAATGGTATTGTCAAATTTTTTTTTATCTCTTTTGAAATTATATTTGCAGTAATACTGCCCAGCCCTATTAGGGCACAAACAACTCATAATGCAACACTCTTCAGGAGCTTTTGTTATGCAAGCACTGCATTCAAAAATATTATCTCATGTTGAGTGAATACATGACCTATACTGTGTCTCAGTTTGCGTTCTTCCATACTTACAGTTGCTGTTTTGAGCATGTAAGTGCATTCACACTGACAATTATGGAAAAATGTAGTGCACTATAGGTAACTGGATGGTGTACTCATAACAGTAAAGTGAATAACATTTAGCACCCTCAGTGGTCACCATCTTGGCTACATAGCAGAAGGGGAGGGAAGATGCAGCGATTGCAATTGCTCTGGTGGAAACAGCGCTATACAAATGTGAGTTATACATTTTTCCCCACCATTTACTACTATACTGTTGTTGGCTAGACGTCATCAGTATGTTTATTGGGTCCATTTGGCGCTAATGCTCTGTCATGGTCAATTGTTGTGATTGTTGTTTCCCGTAAATGGAGTTTTTGAGACAACACTACCCTGTCGAAGTACATAGTTTACACAGTGTAAAACATGGAAGTGTTTTAACAGAAGTATCCGAATTGAGACACAGCACTGGACTTTCTTAAACATCATTTTCAGAAAAAACAGCGTCTTCAATCTCGGCCATATGGAAGATAGTGCTTGCTGCAATTTGGAGTGCACAAAACTTAACATTCCAAACAGTGAAATAGGTTTTCAAAAAACCTGGTGTTAAACATTAAATTATTCAAGGTCAAAATGAATATTTTTTAATTGTCATGTTTGTCTTAACAGTACTCCTTTCAAAATATGAGAATCTCTTTAATAATTCATTTAGCTTCACGGAATGTGTGATTTCCCTTTCTGTTTCCCAGCATTAATCCCTTCAAATTCTTCAAACACAAATCTTTCCAGCTTTCACTTGGAAACAACAGGAGACCACCTCTCAAAAGAGGTCCAAAGTGCAGTTGTTTTGTATCTTAGTTTCAACGTCACTCTCAAAAAAACATTACATTATAGGGAAAATGGTGTGTTTTAATTCCCAATTTTACATTTCACCTAATTAGTTGTGTTTTTTGTTCATAATTAACAACTGCAGGCAACAACTGCAGGCGTTAAAATATTAAAATGTCTTATGCAATACCTGTTTTTCATCATTATTTAGGTTTTTTGTGCTTTTTAAAGTCAAGCTGAGCACATCAGAGGCCTAAATTTGAGCTCAGGGCCACTGTGTTAAATTTTTTAATATGCAGAGTGAAGTAATGTGGAGGAAAGCCCTCTTTGTTGTGGTGTGTGCTGGGAAATTGAAGTTAATGCTCACAGACTGATCGGGAGGAGGTGGTGGCGGTAGTTTTGAACAAAGCCCTGTCTAAGAAAAGTCTCTCATTGTGAGCTGCAATCCATTTGACCCTTTGGAAAGCTATTTTGCTTCGTCACTGCAAGGAATTGTTTTCCTTTTGTTTTTTTCCCAGTAAATTATTGTCTAAACCTTCGTTTATGCATGATTTGTCAAGTTGCTCTTTTCTCTTCTGTTCATGTTTTAGCTAACCTGACCCAACAGTGCGTCTTCAATTGCTCTATAGTCAGACCATGTTCTTACATGAAACCTCCAACACCTGTAGTGATTGTCACTGATGTCTCTGTTTTTCCCCAGGACTTTGTCTAACTGGGTTTATGAACTTGACAAGTGGGCACCCTCTGTGGTCAAAATTGCTTACAAGGTAAGAAAAATCTGTTTTTGTACTTGTACTTACTCCTTCCCATCTAATACGTTCTGATTGCTTTTGGTGGACTTATGGCAGGAAGTCTTTTCTTTGTCTCCCACATGGAAGGGTACCCCTGCTTTGCGCCGTGGGCTTGTGCCTCAACTCCGCAGTGGGAAGTTCAATGTCTTGCTGACTACCTATGAATACATCATCAAGGATAAGCAAATTCTGGCCAAGGTGAAAGAAATCAAAGCTTTGTCCTCTGTATAATTATGAACGCACACACGCACACACACACAGGGTCCCGCACAGATACATACTTTCACTAGAACTTCACTAATCAGTAGTTAAATGATTATGATACCTGAGATGCTAGAGAGGTGCTAGAAAGAGTTTGAAAGTCACGTTTTATGACTGACGGTGTATAACTGAATTGCTCTGCACTTGTAGAAAAATGGTAGCATCATTAGACTTGCATAGGCAAACTTTACACCAGTACTAAACTTTAAAACATGTCAGCTCTTGCTGTTCCAATTTAGCAATGAGCTGTAATTGACTAATCGGTCTATTATTACATGAAACAACCATTGATGCTGTATTTCCATCACGTTTTTAAAAAAATTTCTCCACCATTTGAGGTTTGACTGGTGCTCTTTTATCTAGCTGCTCCTCCTTCTTCTGCAGTGTAATAATCACACCTGACTGGAGAATTTGCGCAACCTGCAGCTGATCTCAATGAACCAACTCTTAATATTTGTTATGACAGTAGTAGTAGTAATGGAAATGTAAGTTCACCATGTTTTTAAAAGATTTTCTGAAAAGTTGATTTAAATCTTTGCTACTTTTGGATGGAAATCTGGCTACTGTGCAGTGAAAGCTGCACTTTAGCAGTATCTACACAAGATACGTTCAGGCACAGTATTAAGTGAAGGTCACCTGTGTTTTGGCACATTGATATACGAATAAAGCACAAATGAAACAAGATCTGTTCTCTTAGATACTCATGACTAAACTCCTGTGTAGACAGGACAGTGTAAGTTGTTGCCAGATGTGTTTGTTTGTTTCTAAGGCACAGTCCGGTATTTTTGCCACAGTATGTTTAGAGCTAGGAATGTTTTATATTTAGGTACCTACTTTCCCATCGTAATGAAATGGAAGAAGGGTTGCGTGGATGCATGGTTGAAGAAGAATATTGTGGCATAAGAATCTCCTTAAAACCAGCCCCCTGTTCAGTTAATGACAGTGCAGGTGCATACTTAAGTGGCCTCTGATTAAGTCACTGCAGCTGTACAGCCATATATATATTACTATATTTCTGGATTTTGGTTTCAATAACAGTACAGCTTTGAATTACAACTAAGTTTTAGAAATTCTGTGCCAGCTTCAGTTAATGTAATTTGGTGGCATGGAGTCGAAATAATTCACAGATTAAGCAAAAGTTGTGCTGTGTTATCAAAGGAGGAGTAAATGTGAATTTGTTCACATCACTTTAAAATGTGAGCATAAACAATTATTATATGCATATGAATTAAGAGAGACAATAAGAAAGTAACCTAAGGGTGGTCAGAGTAGGAAATCAACATGTTCTTATCTGCATCCACTCCTGAGCTCCCTTGTGATCAAACATATTTCTAATGCAAATTTGGAGCTGTTGATTTTCACTATTCCAAAATGTTTAAAAAATAGGGTCCAATAAGTTAACTTCCTCACACAGATTCGTTGGAAGTACATGATTGTGGATGAGGGTCACCGTATGAAGAACCACCACTGTAAGCTGACCCAGGTGTTGAACACCCACTATGTGGCTCCCCGCCGACTCCTCCTCACCGGTACACCACTGCAGAACAAGCTGCCCGAGCTGTGGGCCCTGCTCAACTTCCTCCTGCCCACCATCTTCAAGAGCTGCAGCACCTTCGAGCAGTGGTTCAACGCCCCGTTCGCCATGACAGGAGAGAGGGTAAGTATTGTGTGTGGCGTTTATCTTGAATCTTGAACCTGATTCACAGTGAGAACAAAACATCTAAGGCTACACAGGCAGAGTTGTTTAAGATTTAATTTGATTTTATATTGGATTGTTAATTTGATTAAGTAGCAGATAAAAAACAACTAAAACTCAGAGGAACATCTGAAATAAATAGACATTCACCAAAAATTTAGAGTACCCTGTGAACAACTTTTTAAAAATACTTCTTGTTGTATAAATGTATAACTTTTTGATTGTTTTTGAGATGAGTTGTACATTTGAACATATACTGCCACCCATGTTTTACTAAACATGGATTTACTGCACATCTTCTGAGGGCTGCCTTTAAATCTGTTTCCCCTGAAGTTTTCTTCCCTTCACAGTAATTACACCTGTCATTTCAACTGTAGTTATTTACTGTAAGTGATGAAAAGTATACAGTTTAGTATAACTGACAAGTTATATATGAAGCTTCTTCACAAGTTCTGATTCTTTGATTCTTGATTCTTTACTCTTTGTTCACAGAAGGTTATAGTAGGATGAGCTGTTCATCTTCATTTGGCATCTTGTCCAAGGCCAATTTGCTATAAACAAAGGGAGATTCTTATGTTTCCAAACCAGTAGCTGAAATATAGGCAAAAACAGCTGCTTCAGCTGGTCTCTTCATGTTAAGTTGTTCTTACCTCTCAAAGATTCAACAAACAACTAAGTTTGCAAATGTGTTTCCGAGTGTGCTGTAACCAGGCATGGGCCAGTATGAGGTTTTCACGGTACGATAACCTTACCTTAACCTAAAATATCACGGTTTCACAGTATCGTAGTATTGTGATTATAGCTCTAAAATGTGTTTTTAAAGAAAAAAATAATAATCTGGTACAATAATAATAATAAGATAGAGAGAGCGTGAGACACCCGTCTGTTGTATGGTGTGCACCACGAGCACCAGACACCAGTGCCAGCAGTTTTTTTTTCCTTCTTGTGTTTTTAAATGTTGTGATTTTTAACAGATGTACACAATGTTAGAAGCTCAATTTAATTATTAGCTGATGTTAGTTAGTTAATTTAGCCATGTTTTCTGCCTCGGTAGCAAGCCAATAATATTTATTTCACCAGTGTCAAACATGCTAACTCTTGGCTTGTTGCAGTTGTTAAATTCATGATAGTGTTACCTTGAATTTAGCGAAGAATGACAGGTGGTGCTCTCGTAAAGGGGATATCATATTTTCCTTATTCAGGGTTTTTCCTGGCTCAGAATGGGCCTTTGGGGGTTGACTTTGCGCGACAGTAAGCATGGCTGTTACGCGTACAATAAAGACAATGAGTTAACATATGACCGAAATCTGTGCATTGTCTTGTTATTTCTGACCATTTGATAAACAAAATATATCCCTCCTTCGGCCATCCTACACACAAGTGACTGACTGCTCACACCAACTAGATGGGGAGGGGTCACGTTACACTCTATGCTGCACACAACCTGCGTGATTCCTGCGCTTTCCATCTTTGACGAGACATTAAAAAACAGGTCATTCCGCAACTGTATAACGGAAAACTTTTGTGGTTTTGAAACCTTGAGTTTTTCATACTGTGGGATACCTTGAAACAGGTAACTGGCCCATGCCAAACTGTAACCAGCAGGTCAAGTTAAACAAATCTAAACTTTTGGTGTACACCCCCTCTGTTCGGCGTAACTGTAGAATTCCATGCTGAAAAGTCACAGTACACCACATGAACAATGAAGGAGGTGCACGCAAAAAGGTATTTTTTCTACGATAATGTTTGACAAACGTGTTTACTGCATTTCTTCCTCATGAAACATTTGCAAAGCTTATATATGTTGTGCTTTGTTTACGACCATTTTTACTAGGTTGCAGGTTTTTTTCACTGCTTTTGCTGGTGTATTGCTACACTTATTTGCACATTACTACTATCAACTGAGCAAAACATTATGTGATATATTATCACATATGCTGTATTTCTGACTTTTTCAGGTTGACCTAAATGAGGAGGAGACCATCTTGATTATTCGGCGTTTGCATAAGGTGCTCCGCCCCTTCCTGCTCCGCAGACTGAAGAAAGAGGTGGAGTCACAGCTGCCAGAGAAGGTAAGTTTGAACTAAACATTTCTACTTTGATTTGATGTAGCTTGATAATAATTGAGTCATGGTTTGCAATGCAGAAACCCAGCACTGCTGTTTGACTAAACTGTTTTAATTAAATAAGTACATTCCAAGTAAAGTAAGTACATTGGCATACGTAATTATTATTAAAACATTATTTTTTTTTATAAAGGATAATATGGCGCCCAGTGGCGTGGCTAATAAATTCTGCAGTGTATTTTCATAACAGCACAGGGCCTGGTGTCTTTTCTTTCATATTTCATGGTCACATACGATCAATCCAAATACAAGCAGGTTTTTATTTCTTAATTTGGGGCACTCTCGACTCTTTACAACCTTGAAATTAACACTACTTTATTACTTCAGCAATTATTATGGGCTGTAGCCTTCTACATGCTGGAGGGAGCTGTAAATATTATTTAAGAACAGGGATGAGGCCACTGTGCCTGAAAATAATGTGCATCCCTTCCTCATCAGGTTCAAACCAGGCCTGGGTACAAATTAATTTCACAAGGCAACTGTTATCAACTTTACATCTGACTTTAACTGCAGTCTTATTTGTAACACATCAAATTGAATTTAATAAATGGGAAAAATATTTTTGGTGAGTGTATCATCTCGTCAGCTAACGGTGATTTTAGTAATTGAGAATTCTACAGATTATTTCATCTAGTAATCATATAAGAAGTACTTTCGCTTGGCGCCCCCTCAGTACAGGGATCAGCTGTGTAACTCATGACTGTGACATTACAACACAAACACGGCCCGACCAGACGGGGAACAATAACAACAAATGCACGTTTATACATTTACAGCAGAGAATTGCGGCTAGCGTTCAACTCAACAGTCAATCAGGATTTCAGTTAAAAACTAAAGTTGATGTTACTGTTAACTTTTTTGGGATCCGCTCTTTCTGATCAGATGCTGAAGCATTTCCGTCGTGCTGTTGCGGTAGGCTACATTAGTTTAGTTTTACAGTGGACAGACTAACATTACAGAGTTGTTAATCCTACACTTTCTGTGTTTTTTTCGGGCCGGTCTTTTCTTCGTCCCTCCTATTTTTTTTTCTCCCTTCCTTTGCAAACAGTGCCATCAAATCACGTCGAGTTAACTTGATCACAGCGTAAGCGCTATGTGCGTCAGTAATAATTGTCCGTGCAAAACAGTGTGCTATATAGTTAAATGGATTAAACGAAGGATCAATACAAAGAATTTGTGTTGATGCATTTTAGTAATTTGATTATTTGAATAACTCAATAAATCGTTTCAGCCCTAAATTGAATCGATGAGAACAATCCCTGTTTCTCGACTGCGCGATTGATTAGTAAATTAATCTAATCTTTAATAATAAACTTTAATAAAAAAATTTTAATCTAAATAAATATCAAAAACTGGTCTCAATAATTTAATATTATGTAATTTTATTTAAACATGGAGGCGATGAAGAGAGAAAATACAATATAAGAGACTACTACCAACGTAAATCATCCTGACATATCATGAATGTGTGGGTGTGAAAAATGTAAACACGGTGCTGTCCCGCTGCCGTCACAAAACAATGCTTTCACTTCATGTGTTCATGCTGCTTCACATGTTGCTGCACAGCAGTTGTTTGACTTGTTACAGAGCACCACGTAGTTGGGTCTCTGTCTGACTCCGAAACTTTAGATGGTTGTAGGTGAGTTTTTTTAGCTGCAGCTTGTTCTCCAAGAGAATCCCTGCTATAACCAGATGCAGCACTTCATTGCAACGTGCCGACACACGTTATGCAAATTAAAGGATTTTCATAATCGATTACGTCGATGAATCTCCCCACTAATATGTTCCATGGTCCATCTTAAAACTCTCCTTAAGCTTAAGAGGTGCTTCCCAAAAGCACTATAAATGAAGACACCCTTAGAAATGATCTTAGGATAAAGGAGTGACTCCTACCCACTCATAGGATGCTTAGAGCATCTTGAGAATCTCTGGGAACCAAAAAGGACAGGTTTTATTTAAATGTTTATAGTTTGTAAGTCTACAGAAGACTGAAGCACTGTACGTTTGAAATTGAAAAAATCTGGGGCTGTGGAGTTAGAAAGAGGGTGAGTTTACAAGACCTCTGTAGACTAGTCTTTTATTATAAAATAACACTTGATTTAAAACGAGTGACATTGTTTAAATTTGAAAATGGGAAATTAAAAGTAAACTAAAACACACACAATTTTATTCAACAATTGATCTGACAGTTTCTGTCGACATCATCCTCCTCGCTCACTTTGCCTAATACACTGCTCAAAATAATTAAGGGAACACTTAGAAGCACGTGGAGGTCTTTGCGACTCTCCAAGGAAACGCCTCCCCAGAACATCTCTGACCCACAGCCAAACTGGTAATGCTTGATGATGTTGCAGTCAGCATGAAGTTCACCACAGGGTCTCCAGACTCTTTCACATCTGTCACATGTGCTCAGTGTGAACCTGGTCTCATCTGTGAAGAGAACTGGGTGCCAATAGCAGACCTGCCAATTCTTGGACACTCTGGCGAATGCAAGTCGAGCTTCAGGGTACTGGGCTCTGAGCACAGATCCCACTAGAGGATGCCTCATGCCACCCTCATGGAGTTTGGTCTGAAACATGCACATCAGTAGGCTACTGGTCATTCTGTAGGGCTCTGCAGTGCTCCTCCTGTTTCTCCTCTCACAAACAAGCAGATACTGGTCCTGTTCTCTCCTCATGTAATGGTCCGTCTCCTGGTGTCTTGAGACTGTGCTGGGAGACACAGCTAACCTTCTTGCGATGGCACGTATAAATATTCCATCCTGGAGGAGTTGGACTACCTGTGCAACCTGAATGGGCTGCAGGTATCGCTCATGCTACCAGTAGTGACAAGGACATAAGCAAAACACAAAACTAGAGAACAACTAGTCAGGAAGGATAAGGAGAGAACATGCGTCTGTGGCCACCTGCAAAACCATTCCCTTTATGGAGGTGGTCTTGCTGTTGCCTCTCCAGTGCACCTGTTGTCACTTCCATTTGCTCCAAAACAACATTGATTTGCAATCGCTAATGCAGAATTAAATAGCTGAAGACATGTTATACTGTGATGATGAAGTGTTCTCTTAATTTTTTTGACCAGTGTATATTTTAGGTTGCATGAACTTAAGAGTAACATCTGCCTCTATCAGCCTGTAAATCAATCAGAGTTTATTTTCTTAAACTGACTTTCACATAATAACATGAATTTTAAAGGGCAGCAAGCTGAAAGCATAAAACATTTCTGTATATAGTTTCCAACACTTTTAATATATAGCATATACATTTTTAGTCTTTATTCATGAAAGTACAGCTCAAAAGTTACAGGAACTTCTTCCCTGTATTTTATCTCTCCTTAACTGTTATTTTTTCCGCCCTAATGTTGTCAAGGATGAGGTGGCTATGATCAAGAAAGTGGTGTGAGCTCAGACAGCCTTGCGACTGAAAAGGGTTAGGGTTAGGTCATCACTGTTTCACTGATTGCATTGCCTTTATTTTCATTCACTTCAGGTGGAGTATGTCATAAAATGTGACATGTCTGCTATACAGAAGGTTTTGTACCGCCACATGCAGAAAGGCATCCTTCTCACTGACGGCTCAGAGAAAGACAAGAAGGTAAATATACCAACACCCCTGTGGAATCACTGTACGTCTGCGCTTTGTTTTGTCAGTGTGTGTCATGCTGAGAAACGGAGGTAAACAAGATGTTGTGTTTGCTAAAGATAATAGAGTATATTGCAAATGTTATACTACTTCTGAGGCTGCATCTTGACTTTTAGCCTCAGTTTAGTTTTGTGTGCAGGAATTTTCTGTTATCTAAAGCTCCCTGGCATGCAGGATGCACAGGAGGGAAATAGGAATACGCATCTCTGTGAAGTTTAAACCTGCATTACCTGACAAGCCTTTGTAATCAAACTGAGCTTCTCTGAGATTTTTAGTGAAAGTCGTTGCTCATAATTATCACCTAAATCTGTAGCTTCCCTCGGCTCTACGGAACAGCTTGAATATTTTGGTTCACTCTCATCGCATCATTGGCCACAGCAAGCAGTTGTTTAAAATGAAAAAGCTCTAAAACCCCACTGTACTCTACTCGCTTGGCACCAAACAGCAGACAATCAACAATCTGTTGAACATAGTGGAGCATGTTGCAGAAATAGGTATTTCCCTCAGGAAATAAACAGAACTGCAAGAGAGCAAGTATTGATCTTCCATCCATCAGGTGGACACAAACACGACTCCAGCTGAACGATAATGTAGCTCCGTAGCTGCTGCATGTGTAAATAAGTTCTACACATCAAATTAAAATCTGATGATCAGATATTGCTGATTTAAACTCACACCAAGGGAAGTATCGTTGTTTTTATCTGTCAGTTAATTTCTTTTAATCCATGCTATGCTTTTCTCCAGGGCAAAGGAGGAGCAAAGACCCTGATGAACACCATCATGCAGCTGAAGAAGATCTGCAACCATCCATACATGTTCCAGCACATTGAGGTGAGCACTGCTAGCCCAAGATCACTGACACTGGCTGTTACAGGCCTGGGAATCCTGACACTAGAAGATTTGCCACTGATTTCCAGTTGTATGTCTGTGTCATTTACCTACTGTAATTATTAGCTAATTGCATATGTATTACCTTCAATGAAATAGATTTCATGTTTTAATTTCTGACATTACCATTAAAATGCTTGTATAATATCAGAATATTGTTTAATGCAAATCTCTTTTGTTAAACTTTGTGTTCATCCGGTAACATCTGTGATGGTGTCTCACATTATTTATGTTCTTAGATTGAATTACACAACAATCCGCAATCTGACTCTTTTTACTGTTTATATGTGCAGGGGTATAACTTTAAAACAGGCCCTGCATGAGAAAACTTTGCATACGCATTTGTTTTAAGAAGAAACCTATAAGCAGTCTGCCTTAACAAAACACCTGCTCCTGTCTTTTATTTTTTAAGGTAGCTCAGAGACTTGATTGGAAGTCCTATCTCCCAAGACAGACAAATTTGATTGTATGAGTTGAGAATGATTTAAACCAGTAAATGTTCTCTGTTCTAGGAATCGTTTGCTGAGCACTTGGGTTATCCAAACGGCATCATAAATGGGTAAGTTACACGTTCTGATCTTTTCCATGCTGCTACTTGATTGGCAAAACCAAACTGCTGCTGCATCAGGAGTCTGTATATGTTGGTTATAAAGTGATTTGTTAACACTGCCTATGACGGTGTAACTGTGGTGGCGGCGTGCGGGGAGTTTGTTAGTGGGATGTATTTTGATAGTAGGTTATTTCTTATTTCACCATTTTAATTCTACTTATACCTTGTTTTAGTGTTTACTAAGTGAATCTGCTCGCTTTCCCTCAGTTCTGTTTTCCGCACACACATCTACACCTCCGGTCTCGTAATGCAAACACACCGGCTTACACCTCTGTCTGTTTCTCTCTCCCTGTATGTGTCTGCTCCGCTGACTTTCTCCATCAGCAGTACATTTTAAAATTCTTTGGATTTTTCCACCCGCGACTCTGTTTTAACAGCTGCTTGTACACTGCGTGTGGAGGAAGCCTGTTAATGATGTAGACACTTATAAAAGCTAAATTAAAAACGGTTAACTGCGCTGTTATAATCTCACGGCAAACACTGTCCAGCATCTCCCAGAAGCAGGCGCCATGCGCAGAAAGCAACGTGGGTTTGTTTGGGTCAATAACAACACGGCGGAAGACAGCGCTGCGGAGATTTTTCAGTCACTCCGGTCGTATTTTAGTTTTTATGAGATTGCTGAGGGAAACTTGATTGACGAAAAAACCTTATAGTGAACGCAGGGTGAGTTAACTTTTAGCTTTGGTTTGTCTCTCTGACTTGCTAACAGCGTGTAAACTGAAGCTCTCAGTGTTGCTGCTCTTGTAAAAACGCTACACGTTGTTCTGCTGCTGTGTGTCAGCAGAGTCCATTCGTCCACTGCACATGAATCTGTGTAATTTAGCTTTGTAATTGTGATTGTCGTTGACAACCTTGTTTTGTTGGCTTTAGTCATTTTGTTATATACAGATGTTTCTTTGTTGTAGCTTCCTTGTGTCAGCTACTGGCAGTGTGTAGGAGTGAGAAGCCCTTTTTGTTTGCACCCTTTTTCTCCTGTTTTTGAGATTAGAAGCCTGGTTTAGAGTCTTTTCTTTACTTTCTGTTTTAGGTTTATTAGATTGTTTTGGTTGTTGTTTTGGGCACTGCTCATCTCTGAAGCTAATGAAACTGCTAAATTGTATTTCCTGTTTGGGAATGGGAAGAGTGGGAAGCCACACTTTTATGTTGTGTCCAGGATACCCCTAGACCTTGGGACGTAACGCACGATACGCAGTTTAGTCAACCAACCAGCATATCTAGAAACGCTACAGACTCCTCATTTTTTGGCTCATTGCAGTTACTATCACTGTCTTCTAAAGACTTTTTTTTTTTCAAGAATTGTCCACGGGGTCATTGTATTACCTATATAATATAAAACATAAAATCTTGATAATGCACACTTAGATGATTTTCATTTGTTTACAAAGGTATTTGCTGTTTTATTTTTTATGCAAACAAAATGGCAATTGTATTTGTAGTTTTCAATATAAAACTTGTTGAAATGGTTTCAGTGTGTGTATCAGTACATTTTAATATTTTTCAGCACATTTTTAGAATACCGTGATAATACTGATAACCGTGATAACTGTGGTCACTATAATCATGATATAAAATTTTCATACCGTTTCATCCCCCCTACTCACGATCCATTTTGATGGTCAGATCTAAAAAATTGCTTTTAAGTGACAGCCTTTCTAATATCTTATGATTGTGGAATAAAGAAGATTCCACTGATTTTACCAGCACACGTTTTGGCTTTCATATATTTTCTAAATGATTGTGCACAGAGTCACAAACAAATTGATTGACACCCAGAATTTGTTAATTTACAACACTGTGTGCAGCGGTGGTTTGCTAATTGCTCACTGACTTTGAAACTCAACAATTTAACACCTTATGGGAGACGGCGTTCAAGTTCACGTCTGAAAAGCCAGTGTGTCAGATAATTGCTACATCTCTGCAGTGCTTAGTGCTACTTGGCAGCAGATAGCAATTATTCATAGCAGCGGATCACCTCAAACCAAACTGTGAAAATTCATGCTACAGCATTGTCACATATTATTTAACCATTTTCATTTTACTGTAAAATTTTGAGATTTGGGTATGAGCCACTGGTCTTTTATCTTCTGGTTTCCATATATCCACATATAGATGACGAAAGAGCAGCATTTCTTCACAAATCTACTAGAAACGGGACAGCTGTCGACCCCACAGCACAGAATCGTTCAAAAGAACGTGCAGTGGATTGAATCGAGGGCATTACATTGATTAAATCAATAAAATACAATACATTGGTACACCTCTACCTCAAATCTATTTGTGGCTAATGAGGATTAAAAGGATTTTGCACTCAAGCTCCCCATCCAATGCTACACCAGGCAGCAGGATTTCTTTGTCACTATATGCTGGTTACAGGACTCCGAGAAGTGTGTAATCCAGTACTACTCTGCTCCTGTGGAGTGTGTGCTCACAAATACTCCAGCCTCCACTCAGAACAACCACACACACACACAAGCTATTGTGTCAAACCTTCAAATGTTGTTTTATGTAGATTTGTTAATGATATTTTGTTAAAGATATTTATTAATGATATTTGTAAAAGATCTTAAAGATCTAAAAATGCTCAACATTCTTAGTAATTAAAATGTGTAAATCGCTCATCTGTTCACCTATCACTGACTTTCAGAGAGGTTTCCAGGTTTGTAGCATTTATTTTACTGATAGTTCAAATGGTTGTTGACACAGAGGGCGTTATCTGTAAAGCTGGTTGTAAAAGAATGAAACGGACTTATTGGAAGTAATGAGCTGAACAAGTGAATTGCATTGTGGGTAATGTAGAGGCCATGTTTTGACAAGGAAGAAGAATGTGTGGAATAAAAAAGTATATGTCGATATACATATGCTGCAGTTAACTGTCTGTCACTGTCAAATGGATTCCAGAGACGTTAATACTCACTATCAGTAATAATGATTCTTGTTACATGTTTTGCCTTTTACCTCCACCCAGGCATGATCTGTATCGAGCTTCTGGGAAGTTTGAGCTCCTAGATCGCATCCTGCCAAGCTACATGCCACTAACCACAGAGTCCTGTTATTCTGCCAAATGACCTCACTGATGACGATCATGGAGGACTATTTCAGCTACCGCAACTTTCAGTATCTGCGTCTTGATGGTGAGTTCACACTCTACTTATGTTTAAACATTCTGTGATTATCAGGTGAAATACGAAAATTAATATAAAGAAAAATCTAATCATTCCTTTACTGTACTCAGTTTTGTCCACCTCAGCCTACTAGTGTTCCAGCGCTGCTCTCTTCACTGACACTTAGGCTCTACAGAGTGAGCATTTCACTGCATATGCAAGTGATAATTAGTGCGTGAGTGACTGTGAAAAATGACATGGGTGCACTGGTGAGACTGACTGTGTTCTGATACCCGGTTTAATCTTAGACGGATTTGCTTAACTGTGGCAGTAACACATTTATCGTGTAAGAGAGCAGTGTCCAAAACATTCATTCAGCAGCTTCCCATTTTTAGCCTGACGTGACTTTTACCGTTTAAAATGCTAACTAATGTTAAATCTGTGAGTAACTTGATAACAGACCACATTTAAACGTGGTTGTTGGCTGTTGCTTTCTGCAAGCCCGTGTCTGTACTCAGCCAAAGATCTGTCATCTGTCAATGACGGAGAATAGTTTGTTAACGCAATCCCTGCCGCCATCTACTGGAAAGGCTTGGTCTTCTCTGAACTTGTGTGACACAAATTGGTGGAGATTCACAAATATATTTCCACTGAAAAATGCTAAATTGACATACACATGATATCATACTAGTTGTAAATCAGAGGCATAGATACAGATTTATTGATACAAATCACTCTATCACATACAGATTATTGATACAAATCACTCTATCACATACAGATTTAGACTTGAATACATATAAGACTTACTAATCCCATATGATACCTCTTCTCTCAGTCATATATCAATAATTTAAGCTTATCAGTTTAATAGTTTTGAACCAAGACATCCAGTATTTGGATCAAATTATGTCAGATTTAGTAGTGCTTTCACTGTTATTTCCGTGTGTCAGATTCATATTTAATCAACATTTAGGTAATTGTTTGTATCTGACTCTGAATCAGCAAATACCCAGTGTTAAATGACTGATATCCGGTTCAGGTAAAATAAATAAATAAATAAAAAAACTTGATCTGGAAAATCCTAATAATGATATGATACATAATGTGTGATAGAGAAAATAATTCCTGTGTAGCGAGGGAAATGCCACTCTATGTTCACTATCCATTATTGTGCAAATCAGGACACCTTATCGTATATTATTGCCTCCATGTCAGAGGAGGAGAATTTAAAGCTGTCCAAGCAGCCTTATCAAACCTTACAGTGTCAATGTGGTGTGTAAAACCCAAAGTATGGTCAATGTAATGCATCAACACACAATGTATTTGTGTATCAAGTAGAAAAATACTACTATAATACAAAGAATTGCTACTTTCATCCAAGTAGTCCCTACAACAAGACACATGCACATAATCTCTTGTAATCCCTTTGTGTATTTAAAAGATTACGTGTCTCTCGCTGCATTGTTCCTTGACTGCTGTGTGTGAGTGACTGATGAAGAAGATGTGTTTTCCATAGCAGTGTTAGCAGCACATAGTGCTGTATGTTTTGTTTTGAGCAAACTGGACCTGTACCAAAGGTTCAGCCTCACGCCGACGTGCAATAACTCACAGTTTAGTGTGTTATGAGCTTTTTGGATGGTAATTCAGGATTTTCATAGAATCTTTAAAATGCCAAGTGCAAGGCACATAGTCAGACAAACAGTTTGTTATTCTACTTTGAGGTGAAAATCTTTTATTCACATAATTTAGTATTTTGGTCTACTACCAAAGGAAGAATCATCAGATCAAAAAGTATCATTTTGTTAATCAGCTTTTATACTATCCACATAGCACTTTGAGAAAGATATTAAATTTAGAGACTGATGCAGCTGTGCACTGTGAATCTCCTTAGCATATTTTAATCAGACATGGAATGGTTAGGATCGTTTCATCACATTTTGAACCCTGCTCAGTTACAGCCACTACATGCTCTTTTCAGACACCTCTGAAACAGTTTAATTGGTTGAAGATGAGGCACAGTACACAGGTGACATTTTTACTTTCCTGCAAACAATACACTTTGCAGCAGAAGAACAAGAAGAAGTTCAAGCAGACTTTCCAAAGTTAACTTCACAGACTGCATTTTTAAAAATGATCATGTTTGCTGTTTCAGGAACCACCAAGTCTGAGGACCGAGCTTTACTGCTGAAGAAATTTAATGAGGAAGGATCTCAGTACTTCATCTTCCTGCTCAGCACCAGAGCGGGTGGCCTCGGCCTTAACCTGCAGGCTGCCGATACTGTGTCATCTTTGACAGTGACTGGAACCCACACCAGGTACGTTCATCAGTAGATTATGTTATCATAATCTGTAAGAACAGTACTGGTGCTCACAGTGTGAATGCATGATTATAGAAAGTGTTCAGTATGCTGTTTATAGTGTTGGCAGTTCTTGTTGAGATAAGCAGATTTAAAGGCATATTTACTGAAGAGTTGCGTCACTTTTTACTGCAGACCGACCAATGCTGCACTGTTTTTGCGGACACACACGAATGTTGTGAGACTAATGCCAGGTCAAAACAGCACGTGAAAGAGAAACACAAATTCAAATGATGAATTATAAAGTTACCTTTTCAGAGCTCTCTGCTCAGCACCACAACACAAGAGCAGCAGCAATGGAACACCTGTTATTATTTCCTGACTTCCAGTCCAATGGAGCAATTTCATTTACGATTGAAGCAGCCAGTGATACTTTTTGTTGTTTACAGAAATAATCTAGTCCAAGAGTTTAAAAGTGTTTTTCCTCCCAAATATCTCCCACACTTATTTGTATTAAGTTATTCAATCAATAATATTTCTGTTGAGCTGACAACATCAAGCTATTTAAACTTCCTTGTGGCCCGTGGCCCATCACTTTTAGTTTTTGCTCAGCACCGTGAGCCTTTATCAGTGGTCGTTAAGAACACTGAATTGAATTTGCAGAGATAGCACAAACAGACTGGCTGCTTGCTGTTAGTCTAGCAAATAAGTGATTTACTCATTTTGTGTGGTATCTCTTCAGTTTTTGTCCCCACCTTTTATTTTTCTACAACCAAAGATGGTCTAACCACACCTGTGCAACGCAAAGCAATAAAACAAAATCTAAACTCTACATTGCCCTTAACAAGATTTTAGCAAATACACTGCCAAAAAAATGAAGGGAACACTTAAAAGACACATCAGATCTCGGTGAACAAAACACAGTTCAAGATCTTTACTGTACATTGTATAATTCGTTCAGAACAAAATTACTTAACAACAGTCAAAGGAAACCAAAGTCACCAACTGACTATGGCCTGGATACGTGATTTTCATCACTGCAGGCCATAATGTGACTCCATAGTGTCTATGACCCCCACGTGCCTGTATGCACTGCTGATAACGTCTGGGCATGCTGCTGATGAGACAGCTGATGGTGTCCTGGGGAATCTCCTCCCAGACCTGGATCAGCAAGCAGGGCATCAGTGAGCTCCTGGGGAGTCTGTGGCACTACTTGGGGGCGTGTGTTCCACCGATACATAATGTCTCAGAGGTTCTCTAGTGGATTGTGGTCTGGTTGCAGAATGTACCTGCATGTGTTAACAGATATGATGTGAGTTGACACGACACATTTGACAAGTCATTCTCCGGTATCTGCTTGGTGTGTGAGTGCTCTCACTGGCAGTAAATAAAATCTAAGCAAATATTATCTAAGCAATGTTTAACAATAAGGCCCAAAGACTAAACAGCCACCTTTAAAACAGATGTGGCTCTTAATTATTTATCTACAATAGACAGTTACTCTGGCTCTTGGTGGGTGTTAATTAATTTCCTATTTCATGATGAGGCAACTGAAATGATGTAATGTTTCTCTTTGCTGCTTCCAGGACCTTCAGGCTCAGGACCGGGCTCACCGCATCGGTCAGCAGAATGAGGTGCGTGTGCTTCGTCTCTGTACCGTCAACAGTGTGGAGGAGAAAATCTTGGCAGCTGCCAAATACAAACTCAACGTGGATCAGAAGGTCATCCAGGCAGGCATGTTCGACCAGAAGTCCTCGAGCCACGAGCGTCGTGTCTTCCTCCAGGCCATTTTAGAGCATGAGGAGCAGAATGAGGTACTGTCTGAGTTTGTAACTTATGTTTAAATTTTTATTTTTTACTATTTATCTTAGAAGAAACATCATCTCAAGACTAAGATGCAGTATTTGTGCTTCATCAGGCATTTTTATTTAATACACTTAGAAGGCCCTGAATATATTTTTCTTTTCCTTTTAGTTAAATTATGCATGCTGGTTTTGATTAAATGACTGCATGCCCACAAACAGCTGCTTAGATATGATCAGCGAGCTAACCATCCTTCATTTATAACATTACATGGTGTTGTAATGCATTCTCAGCTATTTAATTGGTATGTCATAAAATCTGTCATCATTTTATTTTGATGTTTTTTAAATGTAACTCTAGGAAGAAGATGAGGTGCCCGATGACGAAACCCTTAACCAGATGATAGCCCGCAATGAAGATGAATTTGAGCTCTTCATGGTAAGAAAAGCACAACTTTTTTGTGAGAACTAATTGACAGTTACATTCTTAAAATATGAATTTGCCAAAAGAGGAGAAGCTGACAGCTGCCCCCCCCCCCCCCCGATAATTGTTGGTTGTCCTTTATGTCGAGACCATTATTCTGGTTAAGTGTCATTATTTGTTCTGGCATCTTCAGTCTTGGCAACAACTGTCAGGCACTAGCCAGGCGCTTCTTCTTGCTTTGCAAATGACTGAATTGCCATGGATACAGGACTAGTCACCGTGTCATTTCCAGTGCCACAACTTATTTTACACTAAACTGTTTGTGACATCTGTGTTTCAAATGCGCAGTTGTTCGGCCTCTTGGCTCAACTAGTTAGTTAGTTTTGCGAAACACCAGCTGAATTTCAAAATCCCTTGAGTAATGCTTGTATTTAAAAACACTACACAATCATGCTTTACTTGTTTCTGGTGGTTTTGTCACATGTTTTGTGCAAGATATCAGTTATTCATAAGCATGTTGATACAACTACCACCAAGTTGGTAACTTCTAAAAGGGAAAAACTGCTGTTATACCATTAGTGAGTATAATTCTGTGACATTGTATGATTTACTTCTACCCCGGCATGTGTGACTATTTAGTTGTTACTTAGTGGTATGTTGTAACGTTTCTCCTTGGTTTCCTTCCATGCTTTCATTTAAGTAATGCATAAATCTCAACTTAATAATCATTTATGTTATAACTAGGCCAAGTTTGAACTTACACACAGCTGGTCCATCATGCTGGCTTGTAACTCCAGTTATATTGTAATGTTAAACCAGAACTGTGGGGAATAGAATTAAAGCACAATGTGGCCTGATCATGTACGATTAATCCATCTTGTGATGCGGTGGTGATATCAACAGCTGCTGTTAACCCCTCAATTCCTGTAAAAATTCTGCCTTAGGTATAAAATATGGGAACCAAGGATCGTATCTGCTATTTGAGCTGATAGGATTTTCCTGCTTTTCTCCTCTGTAGCGCATGGACATGGACCGACGCCGGGAGCACGCCAGGAACCCAAAGCGTAAGCCTCGTCTAATGGAAGAGGACGAGTTGCCATCTTGGATCATCAAAGACGACGCGGAGGTGGAACGGCTCACATATGAAGAGGAGGAGGAGAAGCTGTTCGGCCGAGGATCACGCTGTCGTCGGGACGTGGACTACAGTGACACGCTGACCGAAAAACAGTGGCTACGGGTATACAAGTCAATCTGTGACATTAAAAATGGTGATAAATGTAACTGCTGTACAACTATGAAATTGGTTAACAACCTAATTTGTATTTATTGAACTACTAATTCAACTAATCTATAGTGTTATTATTATTGACTGGCCCTAATAGAAATGAAAAAGCAAGTACACTATTACATAAAATACTAATACAATAAAATGACAATAGCCTTCATATAGCAAAATTATATAATTTATATATTAAAATACCAACAGTAAACTATTAGATTAAAATAGAACTTTTTATCTCATGTTATAATATTACACTAATACACTCAATAAAACTAGTTTCTCCTCCATGTTGTAGAAAGAGCCTCTGCAGATTTCCACTGCCAGTATGTGCTCCTTCTAGCCTTCTCCTGAGAGTAACACATTCCCCTCGTTTTACTAAAGTTATTGTAATACTGTTCAGTAGTCTTATTTTCATTAGGTCGGGCTGGGTGCTGCTGGTGAATCATGAATCCGCCCTGTTCAAAAACTACACCAGCACCAATCACAGTAAAGTTTTTGTGAATAGTGATCAGTATTTTAAAAGCTGTGTCAAATTTTCAACACATCTGTTTCAACATTTTTTTCAAAATATTAAGGCCGATGCCGAGGTGTACACATACAAGGGTCTTCACTTCCATAGTCCTCCAATGGTTTCATACCATAGTTGAACACAAGGAGAAGGAGCACACACGTAGTATAAATATGTGTATAATAAATAGTTTGTTACACTCTTTGCTGTGCTCCAAATTTTTTTCATTTAGGAGCACATGTGCTCCTTGGGAAAAAGGTTAGCGTAGAGACCTGGAAAAGTTTGTTTCTTTTTCACTACCTCACTCAGCACCACAGTAGTTAATCATAGCAATCCTGTGTAATATATTGAATGACTGAGTTGCATAAACTCAATTTGGGTAATTAAAGATATAAAATGTCTGTTGGAGCGCCACACTTGTTTAGTCATTCAGTCGAGTAATCTGTAAGGTCACATTGTTTATATTTAAGACTGGCATTAACCTGGAGTTTTATTTATTTTTTATGAAGCAAAGTAACAAATTTCTTTTGTATTTTGTTTGTTTATGCTCACACTGCAAAATGTGAATCAGGCTTTTTACACATAAGTAGATTGTTAATTTTTCTTTCTTTCAATCCAAAGACCAAAATCTGCAACTCCATTTTATTGACTCAGGCTAAATAAACGTTGAGACTGAGGAATATGTTGGAAGCATTAGCTGTATTTCAGAGACGCTCTAATTAAAAGAAGAAAAATGTTTAGACACCTGCAGGCACTGCTGAAGACATTTAATGTATGCTAGTGAGCATGTCTACAGAGAAAAAAAATACTGCAATTAGTGAAAGTACTTACTGCTGTCAAATCATTTGTTTTTGTGTTGCCAAGGGAATTGTAAATCTGATGACAGAGATGGTTAGTGAAAATTATACATTGATAGACAATGATCCTTCAATTCCACATCATATGTGGGCAAGTTGAAGCGACTGAGGATTAACCCAGTCTTTGCCCTGGCTCCTTTCAACTCCAGGCTATTGAGGATGGGAACCTGGAAGAGATGGAGGAGGAGATCCGGCTGAAAAAGCGCAAACGCAAGAGACGTCAGGACAAGGACTCATCGAGCAGAGATGACGGCGGCACCAAGGCCAAGAAGAAACGTGGACGTCCACCAGCTGAGAAACTCTCCCCCAACCCCCCCAAACTCACCAAGCAAATGAACACCATCATCGATACGGTCATCAACTACAGAGATGGGTAAGGAGATGTATTTACACATGGGTTAAATCAGACATCCTTCTTGTTAAAGGTAGGATTTAAAGGTATCTGTTGTACTAGACTGCGTCAGTTTTAGCTTTAGCTTAGCATTAGTTTTAGCTTGCAGGACCAAAAATATGGTGACATGCATCTTTCACTACAGTATAGATGAGGAGTAACACCCACTTTTGGCCTGGGGTGGATGTGTAGACCATTTCGAGTTGTAGGTGGAAGTTGACAAGCCCCATGGCTGTAGCACCTCATTTTTAAACCTGCGTGTAGCACTGTAATGTACTTAAAAGATACATTTTTTAAGTGAATTTCCAAGAAATCTGACCAGGAGATCCCATAGAACCATTTTTTTGTTGAATAGTCAGAAAATGCCATTAAAGTAAAGAGTATATTCTACAAAACTTTTCACCAAAGTAGTCCAGTTTTAACCAACAGCTCAGCACCTTTACTCCGCTGTGCTGTTATCAGCTGCCTCAACAGCAAACTGAGACTTGAATAAAAACGGAACAAGTAAGGGCTGCACGATTAATGTAATTCCTGGGCCGGCAGTAGTTCAGTCTGTAAGGATTAGGCTGGGAACCGGAGGGTCTCTGTGTGCGCTGCAGTCTGTGTGCAGCATGTGTCCTTAAAAACAGCCTACGTGCAATGTGCAAAAATATTTTATGAGCAGTGTGTCCCCTTCCCCGCCCTGCCGCTAATCGTTCCAAACGTAGTCTGACTCGCCACCGCTCTCTGTGACAGAGACAGAGCGACATCATCAGCAGCTGAAGCAGTAAGACAGAAGAAAACAGGGAGAAGATAAGGAAGGTTTGGGTTTAGCTAGCAGACCCTTTATTGTTAGCTGTATATTGCTTTATTGCTTGCCTTTTTGTCAACATATTCAACTTGTCACAGAGCCGACGTGCTCAGTCACTTTTCGTCAGCCGACCAATCACCAGCCTGGATGGGGCGGGACATTAAAAAGTTTGATGTGCTACAGCAAATCATTAAATGTTGAACAATCTGATTATTGACAAGTTACTTAGCATTAAATAAAGAGACCAGTGTAGAGCATTTTGTTTGCACAAAGATGTGATGAATAAAAACAACCTCCAAAATCAAACAGCTATAACTGGTTTTAATACTCAACTAGTGGTAAAAAGTACACTATTATATGAAATTCTAATGAATGTAGTATTTAATATATTATTGTTATACTAACAGTAAACTAACTAAACATTATACTCTATATTTAATACACTCCTCCAGGTTTTGGATAGAGACTCTGCATTAGACAGATGTATTTTGAGCCTGTGCCAATATGCCTCCTCCATAGAGCAACAAGCTCCCCTTGTTCTGTTTTACTAGTTATTGTTATAAATATTGTTTAACTTTGTTCAAGTTGAGAAATACACAATTCTTTCACGCATTCCTTGAAAATTAAGAAAGTAGACTCATAGTACCATTTGTTCCATTATAATTGAATCGCAAATTGCAATGTTGTCCCCAATAATCGCAGTATGACTTTTTCTTCAAATCAATTTTATGTTTATAAATAACAAGTAATTCCTGTTGGGTTTAATCATCTATTCCACATACAATGTATCGCTGCTTCCAACCTCCACAGTCTCATGTTATTTCTTCACAAAGCTTGTTTCATGACCAATTCCAGACTAGTGTTTTAAGACTATTTTAAGAATAACTTCCACATTCACAGACCTTCCATCTTATCGACGACTGCCGGTAATTAACCCAAACATCTTCACTTTCTCTGTCAGTGTAAAAGTGTTCAGTTCCTACTCTGCAGTGATGGACGAGTGTTGTCCCCTGTGTCTCCTATGCACCTTAATCACTATATGGACAGACTTTAGAAAGGTTAGTTTAGTTGGAACATATTTGTATCGTAAACTGGAGCAAAAGGTATACATCCACTCCCATTAAGGCCCATTCTGTTCTTGTGGTGCTATATCTAAAAAAAAATGTACTTGTGACAAAGAACCAAATAATTAATTTATTGAAAGCACGGCTTTCTCCCTGGTCAGCAGGGTAAAATGAACTGACATGAAGTCCTGTCTTTGGAACAGTACAACAGTACAGTGTGATAAACATCTGTGGATTCTTTCAGTCCAGCCGTCCTGACAGTCTGTGTGTGTGTGTGTGTGTGTGTGTGTGTGTGTGTGTCTAATATTCACCTGTCCAAGAAAGAGCATGTCCATTGTGTTCCTGAAATATGCACTGAGAGACTACTATGCTGGATGTTTTCCAGGAAACTGCATACTTGCCTTTCCAGAAGTCAAATTCTTTCCTCTCCCAGCTGATGGTTGTTCATCCCAGAGCATCTCAATCATACTTTAGCTCTGGCACTTAACGAATCCCAAATTAGAATATGGTTTCTCCATCATACAAACTAATCATCCATGCTGCTTCAAGTCAAACTTAAGTGCAACTTATATTTGATTTAAGCCTCCTGTAATTTGATAAACTCATATCTCATCAGTGGAGCCGGGCAGAAGTCTCGGCTCCATTTCCTCCATAACCAGATTAAGGTGTAACCGTGTAGAGATCTCTTAATAAACATGAGTGTGATCTTAAACACAGTATGTCACGATGAAATCCCTAGTTGTATTACCGTCTTTCTGTCACAAGCTATTAGAGGAAACCCCTCTTGTTCGAAGCCTTCGTGATCACATTTGTATTCATTCCAGCGTCTTTCACAGAAGTCAACAATTGGGTCTGTTCCCGGAGGGTCCTCCTTGGCAGGGAGGCATCACACGTAATACATCAAAGGTGTAAAAAACCCTTCTCGAGCCTACCATCCAGCTTTGAGGTTTCAGCACAATTTACACGGTGGATGTAAGCTCACTGCACGTTCACAGCTCTGTCCATGTCCAAGTCACCTGAGATCTGCAGCTTTGAAATCAGGCTGAACCTTTAGGTGGTAGTCCAAGGGAAAGGCTAAAGTTTGGGTTTAATTTTTTTAAAGATACATTCAGGAATTTATTATTTTGATTTATACAAAACAGGTCAAAACCTGTAATAAAAAAAGCTTACTGGAACTTTGATAGTTAATTCTCTTTCCTCCTAAAGCTAATTACAAGTGAATCAAAACTCTGCTGATCTGTGTCCTTTTCTGTTTAATAAGTGGCGGGTAAAGGTCTTTAAAAGAAGCAGCAAGCAAATCTTTAAAAGAGCTCTATTAGAGTTTTGAACAAGTAAAGTTTCTAAAATGGAAAGTGCAGGGACAGTTTATGGAAAAAAATCTCTGCTTCTGTTTACATATTCAGAGGTGTGGAGTATCCACATTGGTGTACACGTGTCTGAAAGACTTAATAGATGTGCCTTATATATTACAACTTACATATTGCATAATTGTAGGACACTATTGTAGCTCTGTGTTTGTATATTTTATTGAACATCCTACTCGTATGAGCTTATTTGTTGTTACTTTTAGGGATGCAGCGATTACCGTATTTCCGTAATTTCTTTTAATGTAAACTTAACACTGTCCAAAATATCTTAGTAGAAGTCTGCTCACCCTCTCTCTCTTCCCAAATAACTACCATTTTACATTCCTCTCTCACCTCTGGTATTGTTCCCTCGTCTCTAAAATCAGCTGCAATAACTCCTATACTTAAGAAACCTGGTGCAGACCCCAACAATTTCAACAACTTCCATCCTATTTCTAACCTACCTTTCTAAAATCCTTTAAAAAAACAGTTGCATATCAGGTCCATGCACACATGTCTGACAATAACCTCTATGAACAATTCCAATCAGGTTTCCATCCCTGCCATAGCACAGAAACAGCACTGGTAAAAATCACCAATGATCTTCTCATGGCAGCTGATTCAGGACTACTAACTATTCTCATCCTCCCTGATCTGAGTGCAGCCTTTGACACCATTTCTCATAACATCCTCCTTAACAGATTAGTCTGTATTGGTTTCACTGACACACCCTTGGACTGGTTTAAATCATATCTCTCTGGCTGCACTCAGAGCTATCCCCTGTCACTACCGGTGTTCCCCAGGGCTCTGTCCTGGGCCCCTTCTGTTCATCATCTATCTGCTTCCTCTTGGACATATCTTTCGTAAATTTAACATCCATGTCCACTGCTATGCGGATGACACCCAGCTCTACCTGATTGATCTTCCATTTACGTAACATTAATCGCCTCCGACCATCTCTCTCACCCACTAGTACAGCCATTCTTGTTCACACACTGGTCACATCCCGCATTGATTATTGTAATTCTCTTCTCGTTGGTCTTCCTCTCAAATCCATACATAAACTTCAACTGGTTCAGAACTCTATTTCCCGTATCATCACCAAAACCCCTTCTATTAATCATATTACTCCTGTCCTTCCGCAGCTTCATTGGCTCCCAGTTAAATACCGCATTGATTACAAGTTCCTGACCTTCAAGGCCATTTATAACCTTGCTCCTCAGTACTTCACTGACCTCCTTCATATTAACACCCCCACCCGTACTCTTATGTCATCTTCTTCTATTCACCTTACTGTACCTCCTGCTCGTTTGACCACCATGGGGTCCAGAGCCTTCAGCCGCTCTGTCCCTCATCTAAGGAACTGTCTTCCACCAGACATCCGCAACACTGACTCACTTTCCATTTTTAAATCCCGCCTGAAAAACACATCTTTTTAATCTGGCATATCCCACGTGATCACTCTTTCTCAGTCTTTGTTTCCAGTTGTTTTGTACCCTGATTTTATGAACTGGAATTATAGTTGTTAATTTTATCGATTATTGCGGTATTGTTTTATTATGTTTTGTGAGGTAACCTTGAGTGTTACGGTATGGCTGTGTTATAACTACAGCACAACACCACTGCGCTGTAATAACGTTATGCTTTATTAAATGTCACATAATAACAAAATAGATACTGTCAGTCCAGCGACTGTTACCTAACAACAGACTTGCCTCTCATTCTCCAGCACTGGCAGTAACTCAGAACTACAGACTCCGAGGAGGACCCATAATAATTAATAAGAGGCGTTTCGCCCAAAGAATATATCATTTTTAAATAGTATTGGAATGAGACCCGCGAGCAACCACATCATGCATTTAGGCAACATGCACGCAAAACTCTGCACAAGACCAGTGAATGGCAGGCGACCAGAGAGAAAATTATTTGACAATAAGCCTCAGTTTAGTTGGAAATGTAGCTAATGAATAGGGACTGCACCTCTGCAGCTTCTCAATATTAAAGTGGAGCTACCGTGTGTAGTTTTGAACTTTTGCGCTGAACCCAGCAGCCAGCGCAGTGCAAATCACTTATTTTCTGAAAGGGCCTTTATGGAAGAACGTAGTCCTCTCAAGACCTTCACTGAACATTTATCGTTAGATCCTTTTACCATCAGTCACTGAACATTTAACGTTAGATTCTTTTTACCATCAGTCACTGAACATTTAACGTTAGATCCTTTTTACCGTCAGTCACTGAACATTTAACGTTACATCCTTTTACTGTCAGTCACCGAACATTTAACGTTACAAACTTTTACCTCCTCCTGTCTGTGTTGTTATAGACTTCCAGGACTACCAATTACCTGCATTTCAGTTAGTAATAACACTGCACATCATTTTCACTAAAACTTAAACGTATGGATGAGAGTTGATGACGATAACAGTTCAGTTTATTCCCCTCCTCAATAACAATTTCCCCTGGGGGATAAATGAAGTTAATATTCGCTTTATATTAATAATAATACTTAAATATTATAGACGTTTAATTGTTAATGTAATATTAAAAATCAACTTCATGTACTCTTGCTGCTTGTTGTTTACCTCGCTAACTTTGAAACTGCCAACTTCGCTCCAAGCATAAACACTTCATTATTAATTGTTAATTTTTCTGTCATTGTTTGACATGGCATATATGTTGCTTCTTCTGCTGCATTTTCCTGGTGGTCGATGGGTGGCTGAGGCTCAGGAGTTGGAAAGGTCCAGTAAGTGCAGGGTTTACAGTTCCTGGCTTCTCCTGTCCACATGCAGTGTCCTTGAACAAGACATTTAACCCCAGTTGCTCCCAGTGGTTAGCCTAGCGCCATGCAAGGCAACTCCACTGCGTGTGTGAATGAGAGGCAAATTATATACTAGATGCAGCCCATTTACAAAATGCCGTAACAGTTTCATTTAAACCGTGCATAGTTTTTCTTTTGTAGTATAAGCCCAGAATTTGAATATTGTATTTGTTTATTATTTAATCATTAACAGAGGTTTGGAAAAACTGGACACAAAACTTTATGGGGATTTAAAAGGTCGTTTTGAGTATTGATGTGCTTGTAAACAGGGTAGAGTATGAATTTAATAATGATGTGAAATTATTTTGTGTTATCAGGTCAGGAAGACAACTAAGCGAGGTCTTTGTCCAGTTACCATCCAGGAAGGAGCTCCCAGAGTATTACGAGCTAATCAGAAAACCCGTGGACTTCAAAAAGATCAAGGTCTGTAAACAGTTATTAACCCGAGGGATAATGATGATAGTGGGATCAAAGAGCATAGTAAAATATCTGCAAGCTTTAATTTGATAATTCTAGTGAAGAAATTGATGCAGAATGAGCAGACAGTCAAACAATAAATATTATTTTATAGTAATAACAAATTCATGCTGTATTTTGGCAGCCAGCAGTTTTGTTTAGTTGATTGTTAGAAAATAAATCTATTGTCAAAATGTATTAGTTGTTTCAGGTTCTCTGGCTCCAGCTTCTCAAATGTGAATGTTTGCTGGTTTCTTGGTTTATGAATTTAAACTAAATATTTTGTTGTTTTGAACTGAGAAACAAACAAGCAATTTAAAGAGTTTGGATATTTGGGCTTTTTGAAATTGTGATGACCATTTTAATTTTTTTTATTTATTTCACTATTTTTTGACATTTTATGGACCAATCAATTGATTGATTGGTCAAGAAAATAAACAACACACTAACCGATAGTATGCATAGTATTACCGAACAGTAATCTTCACACAGTAATCAAGTGTCATGTAGAAAGCGTTACATAATTTTAGAGTTTTGAGAAAGTAAGGAAAGACATTGTCAGCTGGATATCACATTAGTTGTGACTTGTGTTTTTCTGTCAACAGGATCGTGTGAGAAACCATAAATACAGGAATGTGGGCGACCTGGAGAAGGATGTGATGCTGCTTTGTCACAACGCCCAGACCTTCAACCTGGAGGGATCCCAGGTCAGAAACCTCCTGTGTGGCTCTGTCCTTGACACTGGACAAGAAATGTTGTTTTCCTTCTTTTTACAGACTGAGGCAAAAAGAAGCACTGTTTCCTTTTTTTGTAGCAAATTCCTAAGGTTTGAATGGCCTCTTGCTATAGTCAAAGAGTAGGCATCAATTAAGAATAAGTGCTACTTACTCTATTTGTAGCCCCCTCCTAGCTGTTTTACACTTCTCCCATTTCTTTCTAATTAATGCTTCATCTCTTCTCTTTTATTATCCATATCCACCTTTTGCGCGGCAAGTCCTGTTCAAGGAACTTGTTTATACATCCAGTCGGGTCTTCTATTTCTTTTCGCCCACAGATATACGAGGACTCCATTGTCCTTCAGTCTGTGTTCAAGAGTGCCAGGCAGAAGATTGCCAAGGACGAAGAGAGTGAAGATGACAGCGATGAGGATGACGAGGAAGAGTCAGAGGCAGAGGGTAAGACACCATTTCTAGGACGTGCATGCAAATAAACACACACACACCCACACGTGTCATCACATTCAAATTCTACTCTATAAACCCAGTGAATGCTGTTCTGGTTTGACATTCACTCCACCATCTCTATGTACCATTGTTGCTTTCAAACTGTAGCACAGAATCATATATAATGTAACTATGTATAATGTAAGACAGGAATGACGTATATAATTGTAATTGCAGGACTACTGCATGAAAATTCATTCTTGAGTTTCATGCAGTAGGTCCTGTCCTTCATAGCTTTTTCTGGAACTTTCAACTCGTCTTTCACAGCAGAGGAAAACTGGTTTGACATGAAGACTACAGACGTGTACCAATGGTTTTCTGAGCAGTTTTACTCACCGCTGCAGTGCCATCCTGTCCTGGGATACTATTAAATTAACATATTCTTTTATTTAATGTTAGAATATTATACTAATACATACATACACTAGTGACACATCCAGCTTGTGGATAGTGTACCTGCAGTGGACAGAGGTAGATTTAGTTTGGAATCACAGAGCAATTGTGTCAATATGTGCTGCTTCGAGCCGTCTCCTCCTGATAGCAACACGCTCCCCTTGTTCTATTTTCATTATCATGTTCAGTATTCTTGTTTACATAAAGTGTGGCGTGGCCTGTGTGGGTGCTGCTGGTGTATTGTGTATCTATCCCTGGTTCAAAAAGTTGAAACCTCCACAAGCCACAATGCTCCAATCACCTCCAATGCACATCATAATTACACACAAGGAGAAGGAGCAGACACACACACACACACAAACAATATAAATATGTATGTAATAAATTCCTTGTTTAAAAAAAACTCTGTTAGTTAAACATTTTTCATTGTGCTCCAAAATGTTTTAATTTAGGAACAAATGTGCTCCTTGGGAAAGAAGTTAGTGTAGCGCCCTGTTCCCAGAGCTCAAAGTTAACAAGTTAACAAGTATTATTTTCCGACCAACAGTCGAAAACCCAAAGATGAGTTTACAATGATATAAAATACTTTCATTTGAGAAGCTGATTTTTTAAATTTAAACAATTAATTGTTTTTCAAAATAATCAGATGAATTTGTCTTTCAATGACTTGTTGTTTCATCTCTAAGGCCACAAATTAAGTCAGAATTTCTATGGCAGTCATAAACAGGTGATTCAGATATAATCACATACATACTTTATGTTTACTGACTCGGCAAGCAATGAGAAAACCAGTTGTGTAAGACTTGTTTGGTGGGAACTTAATTCACTCCTACTTTCCCCTTGTGCTTCATTAGCCAAGTCGGTGCGGGTTAAGATCAAGTTGAGTAAGGAGGCGCGCAGCCATGACAAAGGCAAGAAGAGACAAAGCCGAGGGAAGGCCAAGCCGGTGGTGAGCGACGACGACAGCGACGAAGATCTCGATGACAATGTAGGTCTATCCAATTCAGCACATTTGTTTCAAACTTTCGAGCAGGTCTCCACGTGAATATATTTCTGACCGGGCAAATTGGAGAAATAAATTCACATGGAAAAGAGGAAAAGACACTAACATATATTACAACTATCAAATAATATATAAAATTATTGGCTAACACATCTTAAGAAAGCTCACTGTAGCAGCTTATCACTAATGTTTTTTGTTTTTGTTTTTCATGGAACATGACAAATAGCGTGTTGACACAATGGAGCTCAATTCTGGTCATCATGATGAAAAGTCCCGGTGGTTTCCTTTCAGCCGTCTAATCGGCAACTGTTTCACACCTGTAGGTGCAGGCAAATTAAATTGTTGAAAACAGCAGTACTCTGAGTGATCCCAAAGATTTACAGTGAAACAAAACATCGGGTTTGTGCCAAAGAATCTCAGCAGTAAGTAATTCCGGTTTGAAGCATATGAATTGTGATCAAGGTATTTCTTGCCAACATATATTTCTTTCACAAAGATAAGTGACTGCCGGAACCTTGTTTGTTTGGCTTTGCTTTGTTTTTTGAAGACTACAGAGGCCTCCCACAAACTCCAACAGAAATGCAATTAGGGCTGCAACTAAGGACTTTTTTAATAATCAATTTATCTCTCAAAATTTCTTCTATACATATATAATTGGACTAATCAAGTTAATTGTTTAGTTTCTAGCATTGAGTAAAAACAGTAATGGGGGAAATTAAATCCATGGCAACCACCGCTAATGTACCAATTTTCATATAATTAGCACCGCTTTTCCCATTCGTCATGCGCGTGAAAGTGCTACTGCACTGATTTGTCCGTACACACATCAGAGAGTTTAAAGTTTATCTGATAAAAGCAAACTACACAAATGTAATATTTTCCTATATTCTCACTAAATTCTGTTTTAATTTTACACACAAAATAATGATGCTACTTGTCACTTACTGTAGTTGCCTGATCTCCGTCAAACAGGTGACACATGACACTTATTCTTCACACAAGTGTTGTAGTCAAGACCGCCCAAACTGAGACGAGGGGCCTTTCTCAATCTGTGTTCTTGTCTGTACTTGTGTTCTTGTGAAACGTCATCTTTTGTGGCACAAGTACTGTCCCAATACACAAGTTTGCATTTTGGCAAGAACTGTTAAAAATCCCGAAGTGTTCTTGACACATCCATTTTACCAAGGATGCATCGGTTGGTAACTTGTGTGAATTTGACGGCACAGATATCCCAGCATTCATTTCGGCATTCAAGCGAGGTTTGAGGCGAGAAATCAACTGTGTAGATGTCGACTATTGGCAGTTTTACTAAAAATGATGGCGAATCTAAAATGTCTTTTTCTGTCATTACATTCTGAGTAATTTTGTAAGATTTTAACTTAAATCAAGAGACATCTGGATGATGTACAGAAAAATGGTGATGTAAAATAAATCTGGTCTTGTGAAACTTCAGAAAAATGATCAGAAATAGTATGAAAGGGGACTGTCTTTTCTTTATTATTATTAATATTAGACATTACATTGTTAGTGTACAGTAGAGTTGTGGTCACAGTATTTGCTTTTATTATATATACATTTTTGTGTGAAATATATCTTGGTAAGTAAAAACCTACACTAAATCCAATTCTGAGCTCTTTGTTTTGGGGGATGAAGCCTGGCTGTTGCAATGCATGCAGCCTCTGTGCTGGGGGTATTGCGCAATACCAGCAAGAACGCATCGTCTCAAACCATCAGCAGCGTTGTGTGCTCGTGACATTGCAAGTTCGTCCTTCTAAGAACGACTAGCAAGAATGTTCTCCCCAAGAACACAAGTACATTCTTTGCATCCTTGGTTTTGAGAAACACCCCAAGCCCAGAGTTTATCGAGACCGAGACAAGACCAAGACTTTTAGGGGCTGAGAACAAGACCGAGATCGAGCGAGGGCGAGACTGATCAAGACCAAGACCAGTTCCCCACATTACATGACACACAATAAAATGTGGAACGAGATCATAGGTACTTCTCAAATTGATCTGAAAGATCGACATTTCCAATAAAACACCGACATACAAACACTGAAAGAGCTGAAATCAACGTAAGCATCTTTATTCAACACTCCTTTTCCAAGCTTAGCCTACCATCGCGGGGACAGTCCTTAACAGTAACAACGCATTTTTATTATTTAATCAAAGTTAGGATGTTAAATCAGACAATGGAAAAGCAATTTGTTGATATTCCCAAAGGTATGGTCTTGACTGGTCTTGAAATAAAATCCCGAGTCCTCAATGTCCGAGGCCGAGACAAGACCGAGACCACCAAAAAGTGGCCTTAAGACCGGTCTTGAGACCAAGACCGTTATAAATTATTATTACCAGGGAGTCAGGGAGATTCTTTGGATTCACAGTGACATTGTGGCCTTTTGTTTCTCTGTCCAGTGCATAGTGTTGTTTGGTACCAGTTTTAGGCATTTCGATTCTGCATGTCAGTTCCTAACTTTTTACACATTTCAGTCGTGCTCCAGATTAAACTGCAGAGAGCATTTTACAGTCCATAAAAGTTAACCTTTTATACTGAAGGTAAATCAATGATGTCTATAAATTATTCTCCTATATTTTTTTCTTAGATTCCCTAGAGACGCCCCTCTAGTACAGGAACTCACAAACAACACAGCCCCCCTCGACAGAAAATGCAGGACTGTTTTCAGTCTGAATCATCGGTAATGCAGAAACGTAAATCTAGTTAAAGAGCAAGACAAGTACATTTGGTGTCATTAAAAGGATATTAAATCTATAGGGATCAGAAGTTGTTTCTCCTCCATAGATTTTGATCAGTATTCAGTGCAAGTAGGCAGCTGGGGGAAGGTTTTTATTCATGCCAACAGTGATCCTGAACCGTAGGTTGTTTTGAGGTTAATATAAACAGCTCTGCCAAAATAAGACCTTCACCAGAGCGTGCCCAAAAGCCACGTTGACACTGTGAATACAAATGTAGTGAGTGATTTCCTCAGCTGTCTTATCAGTCATGGTGGAATCTTACTGTGCATTGAATTCAAAGCAAAGTGTTTTTCTCTCTTTATCTCTCACCCCACTTGCAACAAAACCACAGATTAAAAACTGAACTATCCTTCCCGAATTTCCAAAGGGTCTTCGAAAGTCCTCATCCTCCTTCACAGCTCCCCTTCACCACCTTCTGCCCAGAAACTAGATAAGACGAGAGGCTTCACCTTCAGACTTTCTTTCCTCTGGAGATCCTTCTTTCTTGTTTCAAGGTGTTGATATAACAAGCTTGTGATGACCTACAGCATCTCTTGTTTATGCTCCAACAGACAATAAACCTTCCTCACACGCCGTTCCCCCTCCCTCCTCTGGCTCTTTGTCTGCCTTTAAATCTCCCTCTCTCTTAATACACTTTTTCTCTCTCTCTCTCTCTCTTTTTCTGCAGGATCAGTCAGACAAGAGCAAGAGTGACGACGACTGAGGGCGTGAGGATATTGTTTATAGCACTTACAAACAAAAAGGACAATATCTTCCATTACTGTTCAGGTTCTGTTTTCTTTTTAATTTTACTTCATTTGTCCTCGAGTGTCTGTAGTATGCACCCCTTCTCCCACCAGCTTGGTAATGTATTACTAATAATTGATAAGCTACAGCAATACCAATCTGCTTATATTCTTGTTTTTAAGACAAATTTGTAGTATATTTTTTAACTCTGTGCTTTAAAGAAGGAAATGAAAAAGGAGAAAAAAAAGATTTGGTCATGCTATATGTGCTTTTGCTTTATTTGTACTTGCTTGCTTGTTGCACTTTTGGAAAATTAAATATATCCATTTCCTTTTTTTAAACATATATATATATAGCTACGGACATCCAAGGTAATTTGGAGATCCACTTGTGATTTTAAAAAATGGCAATCAATTTTTGGATTCATTGTTTCACCTTGTGCAGTGCCAAATGTTGAAACGTGAGGAAATTGATTGTTCGCTAAACCCCTCCCCTGACCAGCGATTGTCCAGTTATAGCTTAATAAACGTAACTAGTTATGGCAGGCCTGCCAAGCTTTAGTTTTGTTCACATGTAGATGCTATCAGAGTTTAGGCTAACATTAGCGCCTGTGTCCTGGTCTCTGCTGGATTTGGGGAAGTTTATGCTGTCAAACTTGGTTAGTTTTCATTCTCAACACCTTTTCTGTTGTAATGTTAAGAGTGAAACTTAATACTCTTTGAAAAGCTAAACAGGGTCAGATTAAATCAGAATAACAGTCTGAATCTCACATTTTTCCTTATCGTACTTACTATAGTGTAGTGCTCTAGCAGTGTAGAGCTAGATACTATGTCTATCTAGCTCTACTGCAACACAAGAAAAATGCTTCTCCTTTATTTCCACGCCATGGATCAAAACTAGTGAGAATTTTTTGCCTGGGACCTTTTACAAGATTCACGATTTAAAACAAGTCAACTAAAACGGCTTTTTAACCAGCTCATGAAGCTGCAGCTTAATTAGCTGGCCGCCAACGATAGTTGTCATTTTAGCAAAATCGACGGTTGCCGGCTAGAAATGAGAAGTCTGCTTCTGTCCGCCTCTGTCTGAAATAAAAATAAAAAAAATTGTAAGAACTTAAACAGGAAATCTGCCGCCGTTATCATAAAAAACGTTAACGCTTGACAGCAACTGTAACTACAAGGGGCGGGGCTTAGTGAACAGTCAGTTACGAGACAACACGATTTTGAGAGTGTAAACTATTTCTGAAGTCTCAATATCTTATAGCCAGCACAACAAAATGTCAGTTGTTGCTCGATGACTTACAATTTAATTTGAAATACCATGAATGCTGAATGTGTTTTCAAACTGCTTTTATTAAGAAAAATGTAACCGTACATTATGTAGGCGGCACATCATTTAGAGAAGTCCATGTGTTTCATGTATCCTTCTAATTTTCAGTTGTTGCGTATCAGAGCAGAAGCTTTGAACTTTGTAATACTTTTCTCACTCAGAATCAATTGTTTGGGTTATTTGGATGGAGAGGCAGCAGATTTATGGGGAAACACCTTGTCTTGTTGAATAAAACCAGCATCTATCGTAGCAGTAAATGTAGCTTTTTAAAGCATCTGAAAACATGATGCGCCATCCAGATTGTAAAGAACCAAGTCTTAGCTGGATATTTGCAGAGTATCTGAGACGGGAGACAATGGCAAATATTACAAAGAAAACAGTGTTATGGATTTGAATATAACTGTTATAAATATATATAACTGTTTTAAAACAGTGTATTGATTGAAACTTTTGGATTGAGGTGTTTTTGTTCCTGTGTTAGTTTTGAGCCCTCATTTTATTGATTTATATGTTTGTAGCATGAACTCTTTTGGCAATATACTGTGTACATGCAGATATATATCATTTGCTTGCCGACTCTCCATAAGTGTGACTTATCTTTGCTTTCTTTGCACAGTGTCTTTGTGGTTGTATTGAATAGCCCAGGGCAAATAAAATCTCACAGATTTTCAGCACAAAAAATGTTATCTCATTGTTGGTGTTTATTTTTTGCTGGAGACCATTTCTACCATCTGTTAGTGTTGGTATGTGTGATGGTTTTATAAATTTTTATTTCATTAAATCTTTTACATTTCATTTAGATTTTTTGTTTTGGTTTCAAAAGTGTTCAATGGCTGCCACTGACTTTAAAGACAAGATGTTTTTGTCATGACAGATTAAATTAATTCAATTCATTAATAGTTAATTCCACTTAAATATAACCTGTTAAATTCCACGTGCTGCTCTTTTGTTGAAAGAATGAGAATTCTGAAAGACTGCGGCAGTGGTTGCTCTCATTTTACAGTTGTCCAATTGCTGCTGTTGTCTTTAAAAGTCTTAAATGTAAGTTGATAAAACTTACAGACTTTCTTTTTCAGGTCAGTCTGCCTGAGAGGAAAATTCTCATGCACTGCATACCTCACACACTGATAACGTAATGAGTTATGAGTTCACGCTTCCAACTCTTCAAAGAAGCAGCACATCAGTTAGTATGGACTAACACCTGAGTTATACTGTGTGGGCTGAAAGGTCTGTTCACAATACATCCATGGATACACAACGTTGGCCACATGGGTCCCGAATACAAGCCAGCATTAATAATGCTGCCCAACAAACAAAACTTAAGGATAACTATAATAAATAAAACAGTCTGACACTCAAACTACATCCTATATTTTTATTGTCAACAATGTGCTTCTCGATACTTTGCCTTCTCTACCCTGTCTGTAGCACTTCGTACTCAAGCCAGCTAGTCCCTAATAAAGTTATAACCCTTCAAAAACATTTCTATGCATTTGTTGGACTATTTTCAGCTGAAGTTTAACACGTTACACATTTGGTACTATAGTGAGTATGTAGGACTAAGTCGAAATAAACTGCAGTGTGTGTGTCTCATGGTGATGAAGGAACATGTCCCAGAGTGCAACAGTGCAGCTCATTGATGAGTTGTTTTGACAATAATGCAGCTCTATGGCCCAGAGGGATGACATATACCACGCTTTGGCTTGTTAGTAGGATCAAAGAATAATCAGCCATTATCCTAATTCACACTGTAACCTTTCCCTATAATCTCATAAAACTGAAAGTATGACTTGTGAATTACTCCACAAGTTATTGTATAAATACATCAGTTATTGGACATCTGACAACATTTCCTACCTACGATACATCTTTTTTGCTCTCTGGTGTATAATGAGCGTTACGGTTGCTAGCATGGCTACAGAAGGTTATGTTTAGACTTGTTTCTCTCGACCTGAGGCGAGTATGGCAAGTATGTATTCCCTTCACAGTCTGTTTGTTTACTGCGTATCATACTGTATACTGCCATTCCTGTGAGAAGAGTCTGGTAAAACAAAACCTGATGGAGAGGCCCAGAGCAAGGAGGAATCATGGAAACAGAAAATGATTTCATCTGGGACGCACCATGTTGTTATTTTGCTCGAGGTCATCGGAGTCGGGAGTGTGTGATGTAAACTGTGGCCAACTCTAATGTTCATGGAAAAATGGGCCCAGAAACTTGTCAGGGGCCGGGCAGCTCTGCTGATACAACACATTACAGAAGCTAAAGACGCTCTAAATCCCATTTCACTGTGATTTTAAAGTGAAACTGAAATAAACCATTATGATGCTAAAGAATTTTTCAACTTTTCAAATGAGGAATCAACGGCTTTAACCCGCTTCCTGTGATAACAAACTTGAATTATAATCTAATTAAATACATAACTTCACGACAATCTGAGACACATGGGATTGTCAAAGTGAAATTTCAGCAAGAAATCTGTGGGCTGACGGCGTCAAATCACTTTCACGTCTGCTGGACTAAATTTTATTGAAAAGTTTTTGTTTTATAAATTGTCTTTCTCAATGGCATTTCAAGATTTGCAGTGAAATACCACCACAGTAATGGCTGTGTATTTTACTTCTGCCTACAATGCAGAGTGGTCTATACAAGCATTTTCCCAAACTCCTCCAAGAGTAACTCTTGTCCTGTTTTAGATCTCTTTAAACAATCAGCTTGTTATCAGGCAGCTTCAGGAGTTCAGTATGAGTTGATCATTTGATTCAGCTGTGTTAGAACAGGGAGAGATCTCAGACATACAGGACAAGGGGTACTCCAGGAGAGGATTGGGGAAAAGTAACAAAGTGTAAAATCTTGCTTTTTACTTTATTCATATTTACTCGTAAGGAGTTTTATCACGTACAGCACACCTGTTTTAACCACTGTAGTGACTCAGTGAAGTGACTCATACTGTATTTCATGGCATCACGACTGTATTGTGCAGCTCAGACACTGGAGGGCCGTCACATTGTACAGCTGGCCCGACCCTTGCACTCTGCAGCACATCAAAACAGCTTTCCTTTTTGTATTCCTGCCATTTTAAACAGAGCCTCACTAAGTCAATTCCCCCTGAAGAATGACCATCCATTGGCTCCTTTTTATCTCCCTCTTTGAAGTGCCGAGCTGTTGGGATAGACTTGAGCCCAGGAAGAGAGGGGCAAATTGGATGTTAATCCTTGTCTGAGTGCCAGAGATGTCAGCTGGAAAAAGTCAGGTGCCAGTGCGATTTCTGCTATTCCTCTGTAGCTTTTGTCCAGAATCATCACATTCTCCAAGCAGCAGATGCAGGTCCTTCCAATCGCAAACTGATTCAGGGAATTTTCCTTCCTACTGACTCATGAATGGTGATATGAAAGGGCCAGGTGCTCTCTATTATTAGAGAATCCAGTATTATCTGGTGTTGTAACCTGTCAACAGTCCAGGCGGGAAACGGGCGCTATCAACGCTAACTCTTGCACAACTTAAAAGGAAGAGCGGGAAAAGGCTTTGTCTCCCTTCGGATTCCGGGGTTCACTATCAGTTTAACGCATGATCGAGGAAAAGGCTCATTTATCTTTGCAACGCTGAGTCCTGGTAAGTTGAAAGGCTAAATCACAGACACAAGGACAATGGGGGTTTCATGCACAAACAGGACATATACACTAAAAGCATGCACCTGGTTCCTTTACCAAAGTTTTTATTAGGGCTGCAAACATAGTGTATATAAAAAGGCTGCAACAAACAGTTGTTTATCATCGACGAATGTGACTTTTTCCCCAACTAATCACCTTGTCTGTAAAATGTCTAAAAATAAGGAAATGTCCATCACAAGCTTCCAAAGCCCATTGTGATGTCTTCAAACTGCTTTTGTCCCC